AATAATTGTACTGTTGAATTTGATCCTTTTGGCTTTTGTGTGAAGGATCTGCGGACGCGGAATCCTCTTCTCAGCTGCAGTAGTCCTGATGATCTTTATGAGTTTCCTCCTTCGTTGTCTTCGTCTTCTGGTTTGTCAAGTCATGTTGCGTTTCAAGATTCTCCCGTGTTATGGCATCGTCGTTTGGGTCATTATAGCTCATCTATTTAATTTTTCATTCTTCTAGTTTTAATAAAATAAGTTGTAATGCTTGTCAATTGGGTAAGCATACTAGGCTGCCATTTTCTGATTTTCATGTACGAGCTTCTGCTCCTTTTACATTAATTCATTCCGATGTCTGGACGTCTCCTGTCTTGTCTTTTAGTGGCTTTAAATACCGTGTGGCGTTTATGGACAATTTTTCTCGTTATGTATGGCTTTTTCCAATGAAGCGCAAGAGTGATGTTTATCAAATTTTTGTTGACTTTACAATGTTTATCAAAACTCAATTTCATTGTGTGATTAAGGTTTTGCAGTGTGACGGTGGAGGTGAATATACAAGTTCTTTACTTCAGGATTTTGCAAGGGAAAATGGTATAAAACTTCAATACTCATGTCCTTATACCCCTCAACAAAACGGGGCAGTAGAAAGGTTGCATCGCACACTTATCAATATGGTTTGCACATTGTTGAGTCAAGCATGTTTACCACTGCAGTTTTGGGTTGAAGCATTGCACATGGCAGTTTATTTGTATAATATTTTGCCTTCAAGTACTATGGCTTATGTCTCTCCGCATGAGAAATTTTTTGCTACACCTCCTATATATGCTCATGTTAAAGTTTTTGGCTGCTCTTGTTTTCGTAACGTTTCTGCCACTGCAGCTCATAAATTGGCTCCTCGTTCAATTCATTGTGTTTTCTTGGGAATTCCCTTGAATTATAAGGGTTACAGGTGCTATGATCCAGTTTCGAAGAAAGTCGTTGTTTCCAGGCATGTCACGTTCAATGAGAATGAATTTCCCTATCAAAAGCTTGTTGCTGCGATGGAACAACATCAATCTTCTACCACTACTCCATTTCGACTGCCGTTACAAAGTTTTCCATCTGCTGTAACTTCATTGCAAAGAAAAGAAAAATCAGCACCAGTTCTGTTATCACAACCAGCATCACCTCTGTTACTGCAGGATACAGATTTTAGCACGCAACAAGTGTCTTCTTCTGATCGACAAGAAAGTGCGAAAAATCCCTCCAATTCAATGCCGCTAGCAACTGTTGAAGAAAGGCCGACTGCACAAATTAATCAACATCCAATGACGACATGATCAAAGGCAGGTATACGCAAACCAAAGAATATATTTTCTATGACTGCTGTTTAGAGTACACAGTTTGTTGAGCCAACTTGTTTCACACAAGAAAATAAAGATCCACAATGGAAGAAGGCAATGTCAGAAGAGTATAATGCCTTGTTAAATAACCAGACCTGGATACTTGTTCCAAAGCCAACCAGTGGTAATATCATTGGGTCAAAGTGGGTTTAAGTACACAGTTTGTTGAGCCAACTTGTTTCACACAAGCAAATAAAGATCCACAATGGAAGAAGGCAATGTCAGAGGAGTATAATGCCTTGTTAAATAACCAGACCTGGATACTTGTTCCAAAGCTGCAAAGTGGTAATATCATTGGGTCAAAGTGGGTTTATCGTGTCAAGCTTCGATCTGATGGAAGTTTAGAGCGATACAAAGCACGTTTGGTGGCTCAAGGTTTTGCGCAGAAGGCTGGACAAGATTATGATGAAACTTTCAGTCCAGTTGTTAAATCAACAACTATTCGAACTGTGCTCTCTTTGGTGTGCTCTCTTGGCAACTTCGAGGGACCTGGCCGATACATCAATTAGATGGTCAAAAATGCATTTTGCATGGAGTGTTAAAGGAAGAATGTTTTATATGCAACACCACAGTGGGTTTGGTTCATCCAAGAATTTCCCCGATTATGTCTGTAAGCTTCCGAAAAAGCACTTTATGGCTTAAAACAGGCACTGAAGAGCGTTCGGTATTGAAACGCTTTAACTAATCTTATCTTCAAAGCTATTGGCTAGACTCTAATGGATCGAACCGGGTTTTAGATCAGCCCGACTCGACTCTAAGCAACGACTCGATTCAATAGAAAAATGGGACGTTACAGATATGGCAGTATTGCTTCTGTACGTTGATGACATTATTCTAACTGCTTCATCTGGTTTATTGTTAGAACAGATTTTGGCTTTGTTGAAGGATGAATTTGCGATGATAGACATTGGAACATTGCATTATTTCTTGGGGATTGCAGTTAAGAAAAACTCATTTGGTCTATTTATGCATCAAACGAAATACATCTTGGATTTATTAAAGAAGTCAGGCATGGAGACAGCGAAACCTCTCTCAACACCAGTGGCAATTAATGATGTGCTTACTTCTTCAATTGAAAGCCCACTTTGTTCGGATCCTCAACTATATCGCAACATAGTGGGTGCGCTGCAGTACTTGACATTCACAAGACCTGATATCATCTTTGCAGTAAATCATCTTTGCAAGACCTGATATCATCTTTGCAGTAAATCAGGTATGTCAATATATGCATTCACCACGTGAAAAGCATTTACACACTGTAAAACGAATCCTTCGTTATCTTCGAGGAACATCAAACTATGGGTTACAATTGTATAAAGGAGGCGAACCATGTTTAACAGCTTATTCAGAAGCGGATAGCTTATTCAGATGCGGATTGGGCAGGATGTCATGATACCCGTCGATCCACAACTGGATTTTGTGTTTATTTTGGCAGAAACTTGATTTCATGGTCCTCTAAGAAGCAAGCAACAGTTTCTCGATCAAGTGTGGAGGCTAAATATCGAGCAGTTGTGAGTTGTGTAGCAGAATTGACATGGATTCTGTATTTGTTACATGAATTAAATGTTACCTTGAAGGACAGACCTGAAGTTTTTTGTGACAACATAAGTTCAACATACATGGCAGCCAATCCAGTTCAACATGCTAGAACCAAGCATATTGAATTAGATATTCATTTTGTTAGAGAAAAAGTAAGTGCAGGCCAGCTAAGTGTTAGACATATTCCGTCAAAAGAACAGACAACAGACTTATTCACAAAAGGATTGACAGCATAACGTTTTCAGTTTTTGCGAAGCAATCTCTGTGTTCAACCACACATCGATTGAGGGAGGGTATTGGATAACTATTCCAGCTGTATTGTATTGGATAACTATTCTAGCTGTATTCTGTTAATAGAGATAAATATAGTTTGTATTGTATTATATCTGTAACACCTAAATTCTCTCTACAATGTATTACAAATAGGAGTACTCTGTATCAATAAGACTTACAAGAGAAATATTATTCATAACCGCCTTACACATATGTGTATGTATATACTCTGTACTTTAAATGTACTGTAATTTTATACATAAACCTTAGTATTTTCGCGGCTTTTGTGGGGCTGCAAATATAATTATTTCCAAATTAATGAATATCATGACCTAATCTCCCAATGGGAGCTCTCTTTTTGCCAAAATATCTATATATATTCCATGCAAATTCAGATATTCAATAAAAAAGAAATATTTCAACCAATCAAATATAGTTTGATTGGTCTGTTTCACTAGTATAAGGGGTGAGAAGCTTCAAGTTCAAATCCTTTTAATTACAAGAGATTTATCAATTTGGTGAATTAAATGTCCCGTTATGTAGTCATTCGTGTTATTTAGCTTATTGAACCTCGTAATGAATATGTCCTCCTATCAAAATATAAGTAACATGCTAGTTTAATTGAAATAAATCAACCAATAGAACTTTAAAAAAACTTGACCAATGACCACTTTCATAATTAATCACAACCTAGGAAGGAAGAATATTAGAGATTGACCCATATACAATATTGTGGGACCCTAAGGAAGAGCAAATGTCTAGGATCAAGTGGACACTTTCATATCCTCCTCAATTCAACACCTAATTTTAATTTTATTAAGTATTATTATGGAGTAGTGTTTTTTTTAAAAAAAAAAAAAAAATATCAGTTCCAGTACCTCATGATCTTGCACCATTTTGCAAGCTAAGCAGCTAAATTTGCTTTTAGACTTAAATTATTTTCTCTTTCTCGATCTTATCATTACCTTGATTTCATTTATTTATTTTTCACCTTAAACGGTACGTGCAGAAGACGATGTTTAGCTGGTGTATAATCCCCATTTCATTATTCTTCACTGAAATCCATGCCAAAGTAATTTTGCTTATTAAAAAAATGAAATAAAGAAATAACGAGGAGCAAGGAAGGAATTTAAAAAGAAGAGCCTTGCTTAGCCCTAATTAATATCATCATTTTACTATTCTTAATCTAAAAGTTACAAATAAAGCAATAAAGAAAAATTAAAATAACAAACAATGAAACAACGTTGTCTCATTGTCTGTGACGTTTTCTTTCTTTCTTTCTCTCTCTTTTTTTTTTTTAAATAATGTCAAGGGCTCTGTACAATTTTCTTCGAGAGAAAATATTTTTTGGAAACAACCCTTTATATATGAAACAACCCTTTATATATATATATATATATATATATATTGAAAGGAGGGAATTATATACAAGTTATATATATATATATATATATATATTGAAAGGAGAATTATATACAGTTGATATTAGAATCATTTTTTATATATATAGTTGCCAGAAAGTAGCTATAAAGAAATTTGAAAATTCTGCAAAATTTGAGAAAGCTAAGTATCACTAAATCTGGGCAGTCAAATTGTGTAACTTGACTTTGAATCAAGGAAATTAAATAAATAAAAAAAAAGAACAACTAAAAATTGGCTATGAAGGACCATGAAATTTTGCCAACTAACTTTTCATGTGCAAATGTATTTTTAAGTATGGACACACCATACTTTCTGTGGGCCTAAGGTTTCATTAAAGTGTTGAACCATTTGACTGATCAAGAAAATTGTTACTAGATATTTCTTATTTTCCTTTTTTTAAAATAAAAATTGCATAAATCTCTAATTAAATTAAAATCAGTTCTAATATTTTGCCTGTTTTGGCCAAAAAATAAAAATAAATAAGAGTTCCATTATAAAGTCTATCATGAATGGCTTCCCCCTTTTCCCTCTCATTTCTTTTCTTTTCTTTTCTTTTTTTCATTTAATTCTTTTTTTTTTTTCTTTTAAGTGAAGAAAAGGAAAAACTACAAATTCAAATTCTGATGATACAAAAATTACCAAAACAATCCTAGTGAGGGACCAACTAAATCATTTGCCTAAAATTGGGCCCACCGTGATGATGAATCAAGAAATCATCTCCACCATTGGATACGCCAAAAATTGAACTTTGATGAAGAAACTGTTCATGTTGTGCTCTTTGCAATTCCTTTTGCCTCCGAAGCTCCAAAACTTTCCTATGCGAATTTGAATGTTTCGCGGACACAAAAGTTGGACTTGCTGCAGGCCGGTATTCGGGTACCAACCGACCCGACTTATACCGCACTCCACAAGCATTACACAGAGTCTTTGGGCCCATGGGCCCAGTCCGCCATTGAGGTGTCTTCTCCGCCGCACAATGGAGACATTTCCTAACCAGAGTATCAGTTTCCGGATTCGAATTAACATTTCCATGTTTTTTAGAGGGTGCTTTGGTGGTAGTTGAAAGATGGAGAAGACGCGTGGACCAATCACACGGAGCCGCCCGAGACCGCTTGGAACGGGCTTTACCGGGTAATGGAGTTTCAGGCTGAAACATTGGGTTGTTAGGATTACGGGCCAATGGTTCCGGGTGGGATTCGGATGATGAGGATTCGGGTGTGTGTGGTTTGGATCCAGATAGAATATGGAGGTTAGGTTGCAGGTTTTGTTGTGTTGAGAAGGAGTCTTCCACAAAATTTGAGAGCCATTCAAGCTCGGCCAAGTCATCATACTGTAATAACAATAAAAAAAAAAAATCCAAACTTAATTAGAAAATTAAATTAAGAAGCTTAATTGCTGTGTAAATAATGATTAAAATTTTTGAAAATTTGATTGGAGAAGACTGTATTAGAAGTAATAATTTCATTTTAATGAAACAAAAAAGAGAATTGACGTGTAGTAATTTATAGTATAAAGTATATTTATAATTTTAAAAATACTTTTTCATGATTAATAAATTATCAATTAAATTAGTTTATTTACCGGAACGCAGAGCTCGCTGGAGAAGTGAGAATCGGCAAAGTTCTGGTAACCGACGTGGTTGCCGGAAACGGAAGAATTACAGCTGTCATTAGAAGTAAACGTAGAAGAATCGGTAGTAGCAGTGCAATTTTTAGTGATATTATCGAAGAAACCGTCCGTCATTATTGCATCGTCATCGTTGGGCAAATCAAGGAGGTCATCAACTGCGAAATGCTCCCCCGGTTTCTGATCGGAAATTCTCTTCTCTGGCAAAAACTCAGTCGCTGCTCCTCCGCAGAAGTAGCCACCGATGAAAAAGTCGGGTGCCTCCATTGCAGTGTGTATGTATATGGCGCTGTTGTGAAATTAGGGAAGAGAAAGAGAAATGTGAATTTAGAGAGAGGAAATGTGAGTTTTAAGTTATTAGAAAGAGACTCTCTGTCTGAGAGTAAGAGTGAAGATGATGGAGGTGGTGGACTACTGGGTGGGTTTTGAGGAGTAAAGGAGGAGCCAAAGTGTAAATAAAGGAAAACAGGAGCATCTTTTTGCATGGCAGAGGAATATGAATAAAATAATAGGGAAGTAAGTTGCAAGTTCTGTAAAGTTCAATAAACTAAGATGATTTTTCTGTTATAGGGAAGTTAAAATACTTATATTTATTTTTGCAAAAAAAAGTAAATCCCTCTCTTTAATCTTTATTTTCTTGTTTTTTGCTTTTATGTTTTGGATTTTTCTTTGTTTTCATTTGTTTTTGTGAAATAATGAGTTGGCAATTGGTAACCTTTGAAATTGTTAGCTTCAAAATATTGTTACTTTAAACAAAGCTTAATACAAAAGTTAAAAAGCAGATTAATAATAATTAATCAACAATTAATTGCTGCTATTTGCTAAACAGTGGGCTTAGGCTATGCTAATTTGGATTCACTTTATATATTTATTACTGCAGGTGACTTAGACGGTAACTATAATTGAGCTGTAAAACCTCAAACTTTTTTACCTTAATGGCTATTGCCAGTTAAATTCATCAGTAACGCCAATTCAAATTATATCTACTCTCGCAGACAAAACGGTGAGTAGTGCATGTTATTTTATTAGCGGGAAAACAAATTTTCAAAAAACAAAAAATACAGAGGGTTTAGTTGTGATTAAGTTAATGAAGTGTAATTAGTATTAACAGCGAAGCCGTCAGTTAAAAGGGCGACAGCCAGGCCACATAAACACGCACTTAATTACACTTCTCTCTTCAAATCTCAAGCCCTAATTCATCTCCTTTTTCTAATCATCGTTGATACTAAATCAATGCACTAAAAAAAAAATTATCCTTATGAATTCTCACAACTTGCACCTTCAAAATTTTCTATCTAGAGAAAAGTCACCTCAATAAAGGTTAATTATCATGCATTAACAAATAATTAAATTGCTGCAACCCTAACAAATAATTAAACAGCTTAAATTAAGATTTAAATAGAAAAATTAAATGTTGTTTTACGAAATTCAACCCCTAAAGAACCGATCCGTGGCAGATTTTGTCGCTGTGATTCCTCCATTAATGTCCAAGTTTACAGCCAGATTCCTCTGCTCCAAATAATTTTTTTCTCTTGGGAATTGTGCTCTTCTCTTCTACGTACATTATTTTCTTAGCACCGGATTATTAATTAATTAATTAATTAATTTTTAAAAAACTTAATTTCTCTTTCTACTACAATTTGGCTTATCATTACCTGCTATTTTATTCCCTACCCACGTTTAAGCACGATGGTTACAGCTCAACTTAATCAAACTGACGGTCATGATTTCATCCACGTGGCCTCTTAAGAGATAATTTTCTCTTTTTATTTCCTCTAATCAATTAGGTTAAAGTTAAACCCTTTAATGCTTATCCAAGCTAATATTATGTCTTCATTTTAACTTCTAACCGCTTTTTCTAGGACTGCTTCACAATCACAAACATTAAACAGCAACATCCATAAAAATAAGGATAAAGTTTTAATTTCAAACTTGTTATAATCGCGATATAAATTTTATATTTCTTTTTTCTTGTATATATATTTTCTAGTCCGTGTTATAAATGTTTTTAGTCCATCGGACAAAATTTAATCATGATCGCCTCACGTCAGTTTCATGGAGAAAAAACGTTCTCAATAAAAATTTTCTCCATTTATAAAAATTGAGTTTATAAATAAATCTGCATAAATATAAGTTGTATCACAATTAGGAAATTGAAACCATAGGTTTATCTTGAAATGAAATGCTGAATTAACTATATATTTAGTTGTAAGAAATCTTTAAAATGTTGAAGTTGCTCTATCCAAATGCCATAGTGTCGGATTAAACATTTCTTTCAATAGTTACAGACTGAGTCAGCTGGGTCCGAGTCATTAAACACTAATCCCTATGCTAATGTTAATTGACATTGGTAAAATGGATAAGGTTTGTTTACAGTTTTTTATTACCTGTAGATTTTAATGTCAGTTTTTATTATGCTTACCTAATTATTGCTTCAATTTTTTTACAACAAGTGAAAAAAATTAAATAAAAAATGATGACTCTCTTCTCAACTAATCCCTGATATTTATTTATTTATTTAATTAAATAAACATATGATATGAAGACTTTTAATTTAAAACGGTTAGTGGGGCCAGAAGAGCACGTGACAAAGGGAGGTGGTATTGTCAGCAATCATGTGAGTTCCTTCTTTAGTCTTAGGCTCATTTACAAAAGCCAACCAATTATCAATTGAGGAGGTGGGTCAAATTCCACGTGGCTTGAACCAATTGAGACTTTCCTTTGATGCTTCTCCACACGTGCGTTTGTGCTCGACGGTCACGTATTCATGTCCAAGACTAACATGGTAGCACGTGCTAAGTTATCACGTGGACCGCACGTGATCCTCCTTCTTGGTGTATTGTCATGTATGACTATGGTTTGGCCGTTGAGTGAGCACTCATATTATTTCCTTTGAAAGCCTTAAACTTAACTTAAAATTAATAAGTTAAGAGTAATAATAAATATCTCAAAATTCTAAACTTAGGGCCCATTATTTTCCTTGGAATTTAGAGAGTTGTAGCATCAAAATCATTGATACCCACTTCAGGAATTTATTATCATTATATGTTCCAATATGCACAAAAATAGAACTCAATTGTTTAAGGACTAAGGTAGACAAGGACAAGAGGAGGGCCCTCCCTCCAAGTTATGAATTCCCATATTGCTTTGTTTACAATTATGATCTTCTTAATTAAGTTTTATATATTCAAATATTCACATTTTCTTACACCACTATGTTATGATTCCAATAGTACAGGTAAGTACATAAGTTTATATGGAAGGTTTTGATAGGGGTAGATGACATCTAGACCTCTAGGTTGTCTTCCTTAAATTATTCTTTTTTTACAAGTGAAATTTCAATTTAAGTATCTAACGGTTAGGACTGATTGAATTGGGCTACAAGGAAGCATGAGCTTATTGAATCCACAACGAGTAGAGCCGTTATAATGAAAGATGCAAACTGAATATAATATTTATATATACTTTTATCGAAAGCGAGGGGCATATTTGAAGTAATTTTTCCCTAGTCCAAACTGAAACCAATTGAGTTTGGGCTCAAAATTATTGATTTTCAGCCCAGCCCAAACTTAAATAAAACTTTGAAACAAATCAAAATTAAGGATTGAACCATTCGTTTATTGGCAAATCCAATTTACACTTTCATAAACAACTAATAAAATAACCAATCACATTTTGTAGTTTTGGCTATGAAATTTTATCGCGTCATCCTATCATCCCATGTTGATCAAATTGTATTAAAAAAACAATTTTTAGTAGCTCTTATTCTAGTAATAAAGGTAGTAGTTTCACTAAGTAATACATTAAAAACTCTGTTGCCCAAGGCCCGAAAGGCTATATAGGGGAGTGAAAACAGGGGAATTAAGAGTTTTCAGTGTTGCAATCATGAAGTGAAATATCAAAATGAAGGTAGTAGTTTCACTAAATAATACATTAACTACCGGCACCGCATCCTTCAGTTACAATCACGAAGTGAAAAATATCAAAATGAAGAGCTCAACCAATAATCCAATGGTTGAACGCCTACGTTACAATATAGTTAGTCAATAAGATTTCAAAATGTGCCACCAAAAAGTACTAAATATCATTCAAAGGAACGTAGAGTTCAATCTTCCCTTCAGAATTTCCTTGACGAAAAAAAAAAACAGCTTACAAGGAAACACGATTGCATAAACATTACATCGCCTCAAAGAACCAACTCAACTATGGTGAAGCCCCTTCTATTGTTTCTGTAGTCAGCCATAGATCCATGTCTCCCATTTCAATTGAAGAATTGATAGATTAATAAAACACAATCTACTGGCATAGGCAGTTGGTAAATCTAACAAACATTAATTACCATTTTCCTAGAGAAAAGAAAACTTAACCACTCTAATTCTTCTAGCTTCCCTGCTTATACTGCTAACATAAAGAAACATCAAGTATCACATCTATATAGATCATTTAAAACTAGACAAAGGAGGATACTCGATAAAGCCAAACGCAGAACTTTGCTCATCACAAACGGAATTTACAAAATTATTGAAGAAATTATTACAAGAAGAAATCTTGCGAGACAAAATTATAAACAACCAACAGCAGCTGATGTATGCATTCATAGAACAAAAATGGATATGATCTGGAAAACTAAGGCTTTATGATAGAAGCTGCAGTCCAGAATATCCAACATAAATACTCCAATATCGGAATAACATCAGGCAAAAATAGCTTATCATCATATGTGAATGCGATGCAACTAAACACGACCAGGAATTAAACCAAAAAAAAAAAAAAAAAAAGCCAGGCGCCCTAAAGTGCTTCATCAACTATATACAGCACTTTTGAAATACAGAATTCTAGAAACTTAAGGATTGATCCATATTTCGTTCTACTTGGGAACTGAATATCCATTTCACGGTATTCAATTTAGGAACATACTTAATAAAATAAAAAAACCTATTATTCAACTATTGTATGGTGCTTTGGGCTATGAAAATTTTTATGCGTCAGCTCTATGCCCTATCCTATCTCCCATGTTGATTCATAAATATGCTATAGTCAATAAAACGAGATTTTTATGTCACAGGCTCTTCTATATCTACCTACCATTTTTATATAGTGGTCAGTAAGTTAATTTCGACTACAATAATTACATAAAAACTCTGTTCGACCCCAATGCCGGAAAGGCTTATATAGTGGGAGTGTAAACAGGGTATATTTAAAGTAGTTTTCTAAGGTTGTGGCAATCATGCGTAGAAATGAATACAAAATGAAGTGTAGTAGTTTCACTAAATAATTCTATCATTAACTGTAACTACATCGCACTCGGACATCCTTACAAGTTTACTATATCACTCGAGAGTTAGATTAACCGATATTCTATAAAGTGAAGAGTCTCGAGACCGAGATACTCCAAATGGTTGATCTCCTACGCGTTTGTACGCTTAATACCCTATAAGTTTAGTTCAATTAAGCATCTTCAAAGATCCTGTGCCACAGTCAATAATAATACATAATGATATTATCAAAGTTTAACGTATAAGAGTTCATATCTTGCCACTTTGTCCAGGATAACTCTTCGACTGTTGACGGTGTAAATAAAAATAAATAAACCATTAGCCCACGTAATGAGGAGAACAGCCGATAATAGGCAGCGAAATAGAAAACTATTAGTCATCGCCTCAAGAGTAAGCCAAGACGTCAATTACATGATTTGTGTGTAAGCCTCCCTTCTCTCTATTGGTTTGCTGTAGATACAAGTCCATAGATGCGCATGTCTTACCTATATTTCATGTTGAATGAATTTTGTTGATATGTGATTAATTAAAACAACAATCTTTTAATCAGGAATGAGCGCGTTTGAGTGAGTCTCAAGTCTTACACTTGATATTATGAGTATCACCTATGTTATCTCCTCAAGATATCATTACAGAAATATGAAATTGGGAAGGGAAAAATTTTAACCTACTCATGAACAATATTTCGGTTCTAGATTCCTTCCAAGCTGCTGACCTATATAACTCGCTAAACAAAAATAAAGAAACATCAAGTATCACATACTATATAGATCGTTTAAAACTAGACAAAAGGAGGATACTCGAATAAGCCAAGGACCGCAGAAACTTTGCTCATCAACAAACTGAATTTACCAAAATTACTTGAAGAAATTATACAAGAAGAAATACTTTTGCGAGCAAAATTTATAAACAACCAACAGCAGCTGATGTATGCATTTCATAGAACAGAAAATGGATATGATCGCGAAAAAACTAAGGCCTTTATGATAGAAGCTGCGGTCCAGAATATCCAACAGTAAATACTTCCAAATACGGAATAACATCAGGCAAAAATAGCTTATCATCATATGTGAATGCGATGCCAACTTAAAACACGACCAGGAATTAAAAACCAAAAAAAAAAAAAAAGACTTTGAGCTCTAGGTATCAACGCGTTGTCCACCTTTGCCATTCCCCATCTACTAAGCTTTCTTTCCACCCAATGTCAACATTGTAAAAAAAAAAAAAAAAAAGTACTTGAGCTCTAGGTATCAACCGTTGTCACCTGTTGCCATTCCCCATCTACAGCTTCTTTCCACAATGTAACATTGTTAACCCCATCAGCAACAGCCAATATGTTTCCGGTGAGTGACCAAGAGACTCTCCAAACAGGAGCCTTGAAATCATGTAAGACCTTGCCCTCCCATTTTTCCCCTTCCTTTGCCGCAGTCCATATTATAACCTTCCCATCCTGAGAGGCACTAGCAATAGTTGATTTTGGAAGCCCCAAGTTGGGTGCCCATGCTACGTCCCTCACCAAATCAGTATGCATTTGAAGAGCTGGAAAACAATCTAACTTCCAAATCCCATTGCAGAGCTTCCACACTTTCACGGTATTGTCACAACCACCAGAGCAAAGCTTCTGAACAGGGTCCAGCAAACTGGAACCAACAAGAGCACCAGGTGTAGTTGATGGCGCCCATGACACAGAAGTCACACCAACTGGGTGAGCTTGATCAATCCTGGCTGTGTCCCAACCACCGTCTGCTCGTGCAGTAAAAACTGATATACTTCCATCTGAAGATCCACACGCCAAACAAAGACCAACCTCGTGAGGTGCCCAAGAAATAGAGTTAACCGATGATTTATGATCATCAAAAACATGAGCTTGAGTCCATTCATTCTGATTGCCCTCCTTCCATATTATGACACGTCCATCATAAGAACATGAAGCAAGCAAAGCCCCAAACTTTGGGTGAGCCCAAGCTACTTGCCAAACAGGACCTTGATGACCACTCAGTTTAGCAAGAGGCAGAGAGGTATTATTGCCAACCCCAATTATATTTATTGAGTTGTCTGACAATGCGGTTGCAACGCGCTTACCATAGTAATCCATTGCAACTTCATGGACTGTGTCCTCATGACCTGACTCAATCTTTTGAGGAAGCATTTGCTCCAGTGAATATAACCACTTACAAATCTCTCCTATATTAAAAATTGTTTCTTTCTCCTGAATAAGATTTAAGAATGAAAACCAGTTAAAATTTAGTCCAATGATGCATCCGAATTCCAATAGCTAATGTGTGCGTTACTCATTTTAGATCAATCTAAAACTCAGAATTCCAATTCCTCCTACTATTAGACATGTCTTAACTACCAAATTTAGCAAAATTCACAAAATCTATTTCTAATGACAGTTAGCAAAAACATCAATAATCAGCTAGAGAATAAATGCACAATTTTGAATTTCAGTTCTACATAACCCGGATCAAATGTGGAATTATAAAAAAGAAAAAACCTAATATAAGATAAATACAAATACACAAATAAGTCAATAACGCATATAAGCTTGTAAGAATATACAGATGCATTAGAAGTGAAACTCAGACCTGGATAGGAGCTGGAACGACGCTTTTAGACAATCGAGAGAAGGAGCTCTGCTTGTGAATGCGAGGAAAGAAGAAGAAGAAGAACAGGAGTAATATTTTCCCCTCAACGGTTTCTGTTTTCTACTAAGCAAAATGTGGGAGGGAGAGAGAGAGAGAGAGAGAGAGAGAGAGAATGGGCTTCGTTTGGGTCTTATTGATGGACATGGGCCTGCATCGCGTCCTGACCCATTTTTGGCCTTTTGTATTGAACAATTAAACTTATTTTTCAACCATGTAAGAGATCATTAGATCAATTTACCAATGATTTAGGTTAGCTTGATGATTATAATGAGATATAATGTAATCTATATTTATCTATCTATAATCTGAAATAACCCTTTTAAATTTATAGATTGACCAAAATATTTTTAATGATTTCAATTTAACTTAATTAGTTTAAAAAATAAAATTTAATTTTGATCGGTTATTATTAATTTTCCATTTAAAATTTAATTTTGATTGATTATATTAATTTTATATAATTTACATATATCATGGACTATGTAATTTTTTATTTTAAACACTATATAACTTCCTATTTATAAAAGGTTATACAGTTTCCTATATTTATTATTTTTTAAAATATTTTATATTAATTTTTTTTAGCATTTATAAATGTGTAGTATTAATTTTAAAATATTTTATATTTAATTTTTTTTAGCATTTATAATATGTGTAGTATTAATTCTCAATATAATATATATATATATATATATATATATTATGTCGTGTTGTTGTGTGTGTGGTAGTTATTAAGTTAAGTAATTAATAAAATTTTATTAGAGGGTCTATCTATATTTTCTCAACAACTTATCATGCACATAACTAACTTTAATTGAATAATTAAAAAATAATAAAAAATATTATAAATTTAATATCGAGTATATATATATATGTGTGTGTGTGTGTGTAGTATTAAAGTAAGTAATTAAATAAAATTTATAGAGTCTATCTATATTTTCTCAACAACTTATCATGCACATAACTAACTTTTGAAATTGAATAATAAAAATAATAAAAAATATTATAAATTTAATATCGAGTAATCATGACCACTAATCGCTTGCAATATTCTCAAATACTATGATGAATAATTAAGCACAATGCACGTTCTGAAATACTAGTGTGTATATGGATGGAGGAATATTGAGATTGCTAAAAAACAATCCTATTAAGTTTATGAGTAATTTTATTTACTTTTTTCTTTATATTTTTAAATAAAATTATTTTAGAAAATAATTATGTTTTGATTGATTCATGTTATTTTCTTAATTTGTGTGAACCTCAATGGAACAATGACAAGAAAATAAATTTCTTAGTCTACACACTACATTAGTAACATACCTATTCTTCATGCTTTTATAAAGGGAAAATTCACCGGTACGTGATTACATATTTTTAAAATTTTTTTCGAACTAATGTAATAATAAAAATTTATTATTTTAATTGCCAAAATATGGAAGCTAATATTAGGTTTTCATATTTTAGTAATGTAGATAGTTTATGGTATTATGTCATACATGAAAAAATTAAGTTAATTGAATTTAAATTAGCATAATAAAATTTAAATTGCTTGATGGGTAATTTTATTTTCATGAAAATTTAGTTGTCATGTTATAATAACTATGTATCTATAATATATAATATCAATAATATAAATTCAAAAAGTGTAATAAATCAAGTCAAGCTAATTCTCATCTTGAGAAAATTTTTTATTTTTTTATTTTGTAAATACTCTTAGATTTTTAGTAATATAAACTGTTGGTACTATTATAATTTATAACAAAAAATTAATAAAAAATATATAAATTAAATAACATTTATTTGCAACAAGTCCAAACATTAAGCAATGTACATTTAACAAAATTAAGTGTCATTAAATGTATTTTTAATACAAATATTTTTTAAAACATGCACTTAATGATATTCAATTGCCTTTCATTAAAAATTCACGAATCGTAATTTATACAATATTATAAAACAATTAGTATACATAGAAAAATGTCTCAACATCAACCACTACCATGTGCCGAATTTGCAGGATTTGATTCTTCAGAGTCAAAGTTCCATTGCCATGGCAATTGCTTGTAATTTGAAAAAGCGAATTCTGAAGGAAATTAATAGACGGCCGTGTAAAATCTATATTTCCATCAATACCCTACGGTGGATACACTAATGGTCACTTCACTTTAATAAATGGTAAGGGGTGTTCTGGAATTGAAGTTGACAAAAGCGGAAGCTGCACGTTGGAATTTCAACCCACCATATTAGTAACTTTCAACGATACCTTTAAGGAAATTCATTTTCCATTTTTCTTAGTAGACAAACAAAGTTTGCCTTCCTGTTCCTGGAGTCCTTTACTTCTTTTATAACTAGCCCCTCTCAAGAATCTCAAGTCACAGTGTTTCCTTTCAAGAATCTCAAGTCACAGTGTTCATTTCTATACAGATTCTAACACTTTTATAAGATTGAACTTGATAGATCAACGGCTTCGCATCATCGTCAACTAGTAATCTTAAGGTAATTCCACTTTATCCTTGTAATATATGTTTCTCGATTTACTTTGTCAATAATGAGATTTTGTTGCTCAGAAATGGTTTTTAATTTTTTTTTAGCTGCAATTTCTTGTTTATGAGCTTTGAAAGTAGGAGTACAAGCGCAGTATTCTTGACCTTAAGTAGATTGATATCAAGTTTATCTTCATTTCATGGAGAACCAATCAACAGTAAAGAATAGGATCATATACTGTCAGTATCTAAAAATTGATGATTTGTGTGTGTGTGTGTGTGTGTTTTACCCCTTTTTGTTGTCAGAAGATCCAATTTGACCTCAGGTGTTCATACTAGATACATTTCTGTCAAACTTGAAAAGCATATAGAGATTTCGTAAGTTCTCCTTTCATTTATTAATTCCAGGGATTAATGGAACAAAATCTCATCCCTCACCACTCAAGTGGGCGAAATTCCAGAATAAAAGGGCTGGATAAAAAGAACGTTCTTCAGGTTGTTTCGCTGTTAGCTGTTTGCATGTGGTTACTATACCAAATCAAGAACTCAAACCATAAACCTGAGAGCTACAATGGGATTACTCAAAGTTCTAGTGGGAGAAATATATCCATAATTTTGGGACGCAAGGGGATATTGGAGTATATAAATGGAGTTGCTGTAGAATTCCAAGATAAAAATGCTTCAGAGGAGGCATATGAAAGAAGAAAAGATGGAGGTGTAGGAGACGATGAGCTGGATATGAACATTGATGAAGACATTGAGAATGCACTGCAAATTGATGGACAAGCAAATCAAGACACTCAAATGAAGATTGTGGAAGATAATGGTGAAAATGTTAATAGAATTGAAACGTTTCTTGATGAGAATGGGATTCCACCAGACGCTGCTTCCTATTTTGTCAATTCAACTCCAGACACTGCAGAGCTAAATGAGTCTGGGAATTTCATCAGAAGGAAAATATTATAGAACAAATCCTACAAAAAGTTAACTGCTTCATAGGAGTTGGACCTTCAGTTGCCCTAGCCTGTGACTACTATACAAGACAAACCAGAAATTAACAATTTTGGAAGCCAAAAATAATAAATAAGAAGAAAAAAAATGCTTTATTCCTTTCCATTAAGTAATAAAAAGGGAAAATTATCTAGTGTCATAAATGATCCTGAAGTGTAGCAAGTCAAGCAGCTCATGCATAAGGATTTCTGCTCAAGATTATCACTGTATCCACTCCATATTTTGGGAGCAATTAGAACTAATCTTCTATTTCACTATGTGCAAGCAAGTTTTCCATAGCAGCCTGCACCACAATGAAGAGTTCCCAAATGAATGTGGCTGTCTCCAATATCTCAATGTAAATCATAATGTCTCAATATAAAGCATAATGGTCCTTTTTTCAAAATCCAAAGAAAATAAATCTAGACCAAGAACTTGCATTGTTGGAGTTATAGTATGAGTCATAAACCAGCAATGCAGCTATATTTCCGCAAATCCCATTAGAAGAAAAATTTTTAACTCATTTACCTTTATGGTGGCCACATCAGGTGCATTTGGATTTAAATCCATTGCAATCCCAAAATGAAGAACTGCCTCATCATACATCTTGAACTGTTCATAAACTTTACCCATCATTGCATAGATGCTACTTTCTCTAGGAGCATACTCCTTGAGTTCTTCTAGAACCTCCAAAGCTTTGTCAAAGTTTCCGAGGGTCATCAGTATCTTTGCTTTTTGGTACAATGGTAATGGGTTTTTCTTATCCGCAAAAATAGCTTTCTCCATCATCCCCAAGGCTTCTTCATTTCTCTGAAAAATGAAAGAACGAAAACACAATAGAAACAGAGGAGCATTGAACTAGAAACTAATGTTTGGTTGTAAGACTATAAAAAGTTACAAATTTAAATTTATTTCTTCACATTTTGAAAATACAAGGATTCCATTAAAAATCAAGCACTGTCCTGGAGTTGATAGTTTGGACCTTGCTTTCGTAATTTTGTCACCCTAACAATGGATAATTGCAGTTAAGAAAGAAGCCCAACCTTTAGTGCATGCAAAGTGGTTCCTACATAGCACAGGATAACTGAAGAGCAAGGATTTATGTAGAAAGCATTTTGAAAGTGGTGATGAGCAAATTCAAGTCTTTCTTGACGGAGATAGATCATTCCAAGACCATACCAGGCATTATAATGTCTTGGATCTACTTGAAGGGCACTCTGGTAGCACTTGACTCCAGTTTCATACTCCTCCAATGCTACATACCTGTCAATAAGACATTCACATTGTTAAATCATTTCCTTCCTTTAAACTATTCAATCACACCGGTTAGAATGAAGATTATAAATTTAATGCAAAGTATCATACTCATGACCCAAAAGGGTGTAGGCATATGCATGTCTTGAATTAATCTGCACAGCTCGGTGAAAGTTTTTGAGTGCAGTTTCATGGTCTTTCTGCAAACTATAGCAGTTTCCAATAGCACACCTGCAATAACCATTACATTCAAAGATTTCTTTGCTGTCATGAGTGAATGAATTAAAAGGACAAATAGTGAAAGCAATAATCAGGAAATTTCTAGATGCCACAATAAGAGATCTAGCTACAATCCTCTGAATTTCAGCATTCAGAAAGTAAAATATGAAGTATAGGATAGTTAGTTCCCATAAAATTGGTTCAAGAGTCTGAAGCAAGTACCAAGACTGGGGAGCTAAACGGTCTATTAGTATCAGCTCTTGAGCTAGGTGGCTTAACTTCATATCTTCCTGCAAATGCTGCAAACAGGAGGAAAAGATTTTTGGACCAAAGTAATACATGCAAGATAAAGATAAAAGAAAATGGAATGAATGATAAACATACATCATTCAGAAAAATATGCGAGTTATTGACTCTGGAATAAATGTAATCCTGATAAGATCGTGCTAAAAAATTACTTGTGTTTTTTTTAATTCAATAGATCTCCATTTCTTTTCCCCCTTTTCAAAGAAAAACCAAATTGCTATCACAGTTGGATCAATTGGAAGATCCTTAATCCTCCAGAAAGTTCACCAAAATTGCTAGACTATAGAATCAACCAACAAAATTTACATGGATGTCAAAGTTATAACTTCAACATTTATACAATGGTCATTATATACTTTGTTTCCAAAAATTTATTGTACATTGATCAAATAAAATTTTGCTCCCAAATAAAGGTGCAATCCAACTTCGCGCGGCAAAAGATACTATATATTCAACATGTTATTAACAATGTTCATTATATACTTTGTTTCCAAAAATTTATTGTAACATTGATCAAATAAAAATTTTGCTCCCAAATAAAGGTGCATCCAACTTCGCGCGGCAAAAGATTTACTAATATATATATATAATATATATATATATATATAAGCTTTTAACATAATACATTTAGGGCCATTATTGAACAGTACAAATAAGCAAAACAGCACCAATGACCAGATTTTTGAGACTCATTATATATATAGCTTTTAAACATAATACATTTAGGCCATTTATTGAACAGTTACAAATAAGCAAAACAGACCAATGACCAGATTTTGAGACTCATTACACGCATTCACAATTGTATGCAGTGTACATAATGAATCATTTTCTAAATAACCAATGCAAGAGAAAGGCTGAAAAGAGGGTTCAAACTTCATATTGCACCAAAAGAGAACTAGGCAAAGTTTTATGCAACTAGCTACTGGTGTATCCAATGAAAGGAAAAAAAAAAAAAACTCACATAAAGTACTGTGGAGTAGATATCCATTCCTTCCAAAGTGTAAGGGGATACTTGATGTGCAAGACTAAAGGCATAATCAGAGTTCATGTAATCTACGAGCTCGTAGTATGCTCTTCCAACCTTCATTAAGAGATAACAAAACAAATGTAATGTTTAAAAAATTTAAAAAATATAAAGGCAGGAAGTATTTGTATATATAGTACATTTTGAAAAATTAACTGAAGGATTTCTTAGAAACATGCTTATTAGTGAAAGTTAGCATTCTCCTTACACTCGACAAATTTGGGGAAATGCGATCGTGAGTCTGCCATTGTCCTGCACATTCTTTCTGATGAAAAAAATTTTGGCACAGGTTTCAACTTATTCATGTTGGGTTACCACGCTGGAGAGAGTAACATGGAAGTTCTTCCTAATTTAAAGATTCCAAGAATCTAAATGATGCAACATTTATTTTGTGCAGCAGTGCAGCTAAATCAACAGTCACAAGAGTAACTCTTCATTGCTAAATGTAGAAAACTAAAATCTTATTATTCTTTAGAATTACCTAATGTTGCCAACAGTAGATGAAAGATTGTAAAACTAATGACAATAACAACCAACAGGGCATTGCTGTTTTAGCTTTGTTTTATGTTTTATATAGCTAATTCTCGTTTGAACTTAGGAGGATTTCTTGTCCTCCATATTGTGCTTCTGTTTCATTCTTCCTAAACAATAATTTATTATCTTTACCAGAAAAAGAAAAAGAAAAAGAAAAGAAAAAGAAAGAGAAAAAGAAAAAAGTTTAATTACCTGGGAAAGAACCCAACCTGTATTGTACTGCTTTTGGGAAAGCTTTTGATAAGCTAGCAAAGCATCCTGCAGTTTTCAGGAAGTGTGAGGTGTGAGTATAGAAATATATATGCTTTTTCAAATGCAGAACATTGTGAATCAACTGCAAAATAGCATTTTTTTTTTCTCTTGATAAGAAATACCTGGCATCTATACATGCAGAGAAGCCTGTAGCCCTCTCCAAGAAGTCTAAAGAGGCACAGAATATCTGAAATCCCAGATGTGATTAAGGTCTCATTTTTAGTTAAGGCACTCTGTTTCATGCTTGTTCTTTCATGCTCAAGGAATCTCTCACTGCCCAAGGAAATAGCAGTTGATGAAGTTGTATGTTGTGAAGAAGCATCATCAAGAGTCTCTGCACATTTCCCTGCATATAAGTTCAAAGCAGTTTACTTTAAAGTGCATGATGGGCTCACAGATCTCAAAACAGGAGAAGAAAATGACCTTTTTGAAATTCATATGTAATATTCAAAAAAATATCAGCTTTAGATTCCATGTAGAATGAAGCACCCATATATGACCTTTAAAACAATGCAGACCAACTCCAGGGTTAAGTAAAGGAATAGATATTTATTAGAAATCAAATCAAGGTACCATTTGCTTTGGAACCTATGATTACAAGGCTAAAACAAAGGCAGTTGTCAGTTATTCTGGAACATAAACTGGATAGCCTTGACACTTAAATCATAAGCTGCTCTTTATATTAACATGTGCCTTGCCATCGATCTTCTTTAAGAAGCAACTAGAAATTTCTTATTCCTTTCTATTAATCATAGATCATGGAATTAGCAAATTAAAATGTCCAATCCAAATGCCAAAAAAAAAAAAAAAAAAAAAAAAGCCAAGACAAGAAAAAATACCAACATATGATAAATCTTCTAATCTGCAATGATTCATAGTTTTATAGGTTTAAGGTCATTATTGTCAATTATAAGAACAAGCACTGCTGTGACCGATTATTTGGTTTTTATGATAGTAGAAGTACAAGTAAAGAACTGCCAAATTAAATTATCACCTCCACTTGGATCTCTACAAACCACTGAAGAACTAAATGACACAGAGGTGGATTTAGAGGATAAGGGAAGTCTTCCGATTCCTAGATAACTGGAACTCAAAGAACCTGTTCCATCTCCTACTTGCAAAGTGGTTGAGTTTGCACGCATTGCAGCAAGTCTTGGGCTTCGACGAGGCCCAGAATCAGAAACTAATCTCTCAAAAACCTTCAAAATATCAAGTGCCAGAGATTAAAGCATGAAATTTTTTATTCAAATTGTGCACATATGCAAATAAAATCAATAAAACCATAGGCAATAGACAAACATGAGGAGGCTGAAAAGCAATGTTATTCTCAGGGGGGATTGATATACCCAGCGAAACACCATGTATCTCAACACTGTTCTCGTTTCTTAAGAAGGTAAAATTTGAAGAGCACTGATTTCATACAGTTGAAATATGCCAAATTAACCCAAAAAAAAAAAAAAAAAAAAAAAAAAAAAAAATTAACCAAAAAAAAAAGTGAATAAAGAGAAAAAAAAGAATAAAAGAAATATGAACATGCTGTGCAGCAGCATGTCACTGAAAAAATTCAATACAAAATGTGCAGGCTTAGAGCTTATACATTTTACTCCCACGTCAAAAATAAAAAAAAAAAAAAAAAAAAAAAAGAAAAGAAATATGCATGCTGTGCAGCAGCATGTCACTAAAAATTCAACAAATTCAGGCTTAAGCTTAATACATTTACTCCCACGTCAAAAATGTAAATGCCAACTGTGAGAAATGAAAGTAGTGGTCATTTGTGTAGAAATGGATATACAACCTTCCCAGATTTGCCTTCTCCAGCAAATTTCCTTCGGGGAGCTCGAGTTGTATTCGGCAAACTTTTGCCTCCCAGAGTACTTGGATTAGTTTCATTTCTGCAAATAGGCGCTGGGGCAATATCTGACAACTGAAAAAAATATATACTTCAGAAACTCACACATCAACTTTCAAATATTCTCTGCTTACTTGAAATCACAAAGGAAAAAGGTACTATCATGTTTAAATCATTGAACATGGGATAAAATTTTCCATTAGCCAATAAAATAGTCAACATCTGAGGTTATCAAATCATATATACATATACATATCTCGTGCTGAACTCCTCTGTAACTTAGCAAGTGGTTCAGATGATGTGCAATTAAACTGTTTCTCCACAATCTAGTAGGTATACGATTGATTCTATTATTTCCCTAAGCATGTCTGACTATTGAAGGCACTACCATTCAATCAAATTTCGCTATTATAGATGATTGTTCTTAAAAATGAATTCGACTTTGCTTTCACCAGGTGCATTTTAGGCTCATAATATTGTTTTAAATGATAACTGATCATAGTCTTATGAAATATAAAATGAGGACTACATTTACTAGAATATTAAGCCATCTTTGGAAGACTAAATGGCATATACAGTGAAGTAAGTCAACTAACGGAATCATGTGTAGTTGCCTGAGTAAAAAATCTACAAGAGTGTGGAAAACAAATGCTCAGGCTAATATGATATTCAAGTTCAACAGAGCAAGAAACAAGTCAGAAATTCCCCAAATTTTTTGTCCTAAACATTTCTTGCAGAAAATGCTTCTACAGTATGATAACAGGAAAAAGTAAGTTTTGGTTTTCTTCCCCTTCTTTTTTCTTTTGTTGGGGTTATTTTGAGCAGGGAAGAAAGAAAACTTTAACTTGGACATAAATTTGGTTAGCAGAAAGTAAAATCTTTCAATCCAATTTATCAGCAAATCTTACCTGTGTAAGCATTGTTGAAGAAGTATTATATAGGGACAAGTTGGGAGAAGGATCATCACTTGATCCAGCCAAAACAGCTGCTTCATGACAATTTCCAGCCAAATCTCTGAGATTTTGGTCCTGTGAATGCTTCAAATGGCCCAGATTCCCATCTTCCAAAAAGTTCCCAACACAACCTGAACTTTGATCATCATCGGCTGTATGCAGGTAAGATGATCGATTACCCAAATGATACTCTTGAACATAACTAACAGCTGCTTCACTAAAAACTGCCACTGCTTCTTCTGCAGCACCTGGAAAGTATACAGTGAGCCTCAGGGTAAATATAAATAGAATATGAAAGGAACATCCCAAAAGATTGCCAGTGAAAGAGCATTGAATAGCTTGCTAAAAAACAAAATAGTCATTAATAAACAAAATAGCATCTGTATGTGCAATATTGAGTGAAAGAGCAGTTATAAAGAGGGCTGGATATCTCACAAATCAACTAGTGAAAGAGCATCAAATAACCATATAAAGTTATTTGCAAGAATACTGACCAAAATGAATGGATGTATACGCAACAAAATACATTGCATGCATGTGTATGTGTGCAATTTTCTATCTCTCGAAATATCATATAAAAGATGCATATGAAAATTTCTAGAAGTAATAACCTAAATGTGACAGAAAACAAATTTAATTCCTTTCTTGGAAGAAACCTAGAGAAACATTAATCTCTTTTAACAATACGAAGTTCAGCAAATAAACAGTTTTGAGTCATCTCAGAATGAAATAACAGCAAATATATGCTTCTGCACTGACCTAATGTACACAGTTCCTCGTATGCTGCCCAAAATAATGGATCGATTAACAAGGCCTTTCTTAAGTGTTTGACAGAATTTTCCTTCCTATTGGTGTACCTAAAAGGGATAGATGCAGAATATCGATAGCATATGAGTAACTGACATGTTCAACATATTAATGAACTAAAATGCAATAACATCCTACATGGTAAAAGAACATGAGGAGAGGGCTATGGTGCTAAGATACTAGCTGATAAGCTGATCATCCATGGATAAGTATACAATATTACTCAGAATCTTATAAACTTCCTCATGCAAATAAAATGATGTCCATAAGAAGCTCGGACACAAGGTTTATTCATAAATTCAGGCTTAGATAAGCATGTTGTATATGGACCAAGTTCAATCAAATTCAGCAGAGCCGCACATGGAAAGCTTGCCAGCTTGAATCTATTCGTAAACTGATTGTGCATGGACAAAGAAAGTTAAGCCAAACATACGACTAAATCAGACTGATCTGGGTGAAGCCACTTTCATTTCAACCAATGACTAAGTACTATGTTTCCACCTCATTAAATGTAAGTGCTGAATCCTCTGTGGGCAAAAAAAAAGGGCTTCATGGATTCTGCTTTGCATCCCAATAGAATGTTTGAAACTTAAGACTCAATAAAGATTAGAAAAGTAAACTGTCAATAACACAATTTATGAGCTTAGAAAAATGAACGAGTGAGAACAACAAACAGAACCTTAATTCTAAAAAACTCGGTGATATTAAAATCAATAAAAATTGCCATTACTGACCTGTATACAAGTCCAAGAAGATAATGACCAGCTGCACCATTTGGAACCTACAAACGAGAAACAACAAAAATGAGCCTCGACTCATCACAGAAATCACATCAACACCGAGTCAGTTAAAGCTCAAGATATATTCAAGCCAATAAAAATGTCTAAAATTGTCCATCTACTGTGACCATCTATAAACCCTATCCCCATTTTAAAGCTATAGATACTCACTGTCTTGGGAACGAAACACATAAAATAATGATAATAACAATACATTAAATAGTAATTAATAGCTTGCTAAAAAAAAAAAAGAAACCTCTGCATCAGGCTCTTTAGTAGGCAATAATGTTGCTTCAGCTTCACTAAGCAGATCCATTTTAAAGCAAGAACATGCAAACAAATAGCGTGATTGAGCCATTTTTGTGCCTTCAATTCATAAGAAAGCAAGAATAAGATTTCCAAACCACCTACTCAATTACACTGTACAATGTATAAAATACAATATAAGCCTAATCAGAAGAGTAAAGAGCCATGAGTCAATAGTAATACCTTTTAAAATGTGATATGCACAATAAGCTTGATTGTTATTCATGTAACACCTAGCCAGTAATTGTAAATTCACCTACATTGTCAAAAAAAAAAAAAAAAAAATTATTAAAATGAAGCAAAGAAATTATGCTAATTATCCACTTTTAAGCACAAATTTTGAATAAGATATTCAACTTTTTTTGAACTGATGCACTACTTTTTAATCCTCAATTTAGCTTTTTTTACTTTACAAACAATTTCGTAAATGTAAAAAAATAATCTTTATTAATGACCTCGGATTCTACAACCAACATACCCTTTATTTAAAGAATAAAGCTTTACTCAAAAAGTAAACCAAAAAATAAATTTTTAAGAACATAAATCACATATCAAGGCATAATCCAAAAAAGAAAAGAACATAAAAGAATAATAAATTACAATTTGTAAAGAAATGAAATAAGGAAAAAGAGAAGAGAATAGAGAAAAAAATGAAAACCTCAGATGGGAATTCAGCACAGAGGCGTTCGCAGACAAAAATGGCGTTTTTGAGCATCATTTCGTTGAGGCTTTTCTCTACACATTTCACCAGGATCGTTTCCATTTCATTGATTTTCCGTTTTCGTAGAGAAACTGTGATATTCTGGGGGGATTGTTTAGTTTTGTAGATTGTTCTGAAGATCAAGAAAGGAAGGAGGTGACACGCGCGACCTCAATTTTGAATAGGCAGGCAATGTTCCAGTGCAGTAATAGGCTGGCTATCTTTTTTTATTTTTCTTTCCTTTTTCAACTTTTTTTTTAGACATTATATAAGTTGCCTTGTAAATCAGACAATTTGAAGTAAAAAAAAAAATTTTTTTGAATAAACCTTTAGATTTTCAAATCAAAATCTTCTCTTAATTCACTTATTCATTTATAAAAATGTTTTCCCATATTTTCAGAATGATGTTTGATTTTAATTTTTTTATTGAGTTGAGATTAAGAATTTAAACTTGATATTATGTTTGCCCTGAAAATGGTTTATGTATAAACAAAACGGTTGAATTAACGAGTACAATCGACAGCTCACACAGATTAAATATTCAAATTACAAACAACTAAAATGGTAAGTAGTAGTTAAATTTACGTACTACCAGCTAATTTCAACCCAAATTTTGAAAATCACAGAGTAATATTCGTGGAACAAATAGAAGGTTGAGCTGGCAATTATACTTTCGCCTGATGATCTTAGTGACTGCGTAAAACGACACAATCAAGCATGTTGGTTTCTTTGCGATCATGTCGTTGATGTCAGTAGAAAAAATCAAGCATAAAACCCACTTAAAGCCATCAGCAGCTAAACGACAATTATCAAATGTTAAAAGCCGTTTTACAGTGGCGATTTATAATATTGGATTTTGAATTGCAAGCAAAATTTCTTGTCCACTTTCTCTATAAGGACTCAATTGTTAAACGAATTTCATTTTCTAATAGTCTGTTCCATTGATGCAGCCGGAGCAGGAGCTCTTTGAGGGTCCAAGAGGCCGTGACCCCTCGAGAAACCTTTTTTTTTTGAAAAAAACAATCTCATAAAAAATTACATTTTGATCCTTCTAAAATATAGAAAAATTATATTTAGTCATTTTAAGTGTTTAAAAAACTAATCTAGATTCAGATTCTGCAGATCTTTAAATCCAATTTTCTCTATTCATAATTTTCTGGATTCAAAAAAATTCAACGTCTCGTTCCACTGGACCAACTAGTAGTTAGGGGTGGCCACGGTTTCCGAACCGGCGGTTCCGGTTCCAAAAAAAATGGAACTGGAACCGAACGGTTCCTGTTTCGGTACGGTGTCAAAACCGACGGTTCCGATCGGTTTTCTGACTGATTTTCTGGCAAATCTCATAATTTTAAATTTTAAATTTTGAAGACCGGTTTTCAAAATTTAATAAATTTGTGAAAGTTATTTGTAAAAAAAATACACCTAAAAAGTTCCGATCGGTTTCTGACTGGGATTTTCTGGCAAATCCTCTATAATTTAAATTTTAACATTTTTGAAGACCCCGTTTCAAAATTTAATAAATTTCATGTGAAGAGTTCATTCTGTAAAATAAAATACACCTAAAAATTAAAAAAATGGTTCAATAAATTTAATTTTTTAAGAATTTGAACTTAATTAGTTTAAAAAAAAATTTTTTGAACTGAATTTATTTTTTGTTTCAAGAAAAGTTGAGATTTCACACAAAATTTAAAAAAAAAAAAAAAACAAAAAACTGACAGTTTCTATACCTGGCTAAAACCGCCTGTTCGAACCGGCAGTTCCTAACCGGCCGGAGAAGCCGGCGTTCCAATCCGGTTCTACCGGTTTTGTGGAACGCGCAGTTTGCGGTTCCACAAATCTGGAACGGAAACCGAACCGAAAATCTCCGGTTCTGATTCTGGTTCGAACCGGTTCCGTTACGGTCGAGACTCCGGTTCTGATTCTGGTTCGGACCGGTTCCGGTTACGGTTCGAGACCGGTTCAAACCAATGGTTCCGGTTCCCAAAACCGTAATATGGCCACCCTTACTAGTAGTTAATCAGCGATTTATTAATTTTTATATAATGTTACATGACTATATAGCATACCAAAGTTTAGTGTGTGTTATAGTTTAAAGGAATAAAGGAAGAACCAAACAAAGAAAAAGTAACTAGAAAATCCACCATTTTTGTTTAATTTGAAGGAAATAACAAAACATTGAACTTACTCCACAAGAATTTGCTCGTGAAAAAAAAGCTAAAAGATTTTATATCATTTTCCATCTCTCTCAAACCATGAGTAGTGAGAAAGAGATGTTCATCTAGTGGATTGGCGCAGCTCTCCCTAATCTAAAAAGCCAAGATGACATCTTTTACAATACATGGTTTTGCATTATCATTCACATTATTCACAGGATCCATACAAAAAAACCAGGCTACTAAAGCTATCCCCATCAATCTTTTTCCAAAATAAGAGGTTAGGGTTTCAAAATTAGGGTTACTCTGATTTTTTTTTTTTTTTTCATTTCACTTTCAAGATAACCTGTGGATTAAAAAAAAAGGCTGTATTTAATTGTTAATCTTTTTGTGGTAGCTATTACCTAACTTGCAACTGCCTCTCACTCTGATTTAGAAGCTCGTGAAGCTAGTAAGGTTATGGTTGTGGGCAAATGCTGCATGTGAATCATGAAATTAAGTCATTTTCTATCATGTTATTAATTAATAATCTTAATTAAAAAAAAGGTTTTGCTATCATAATAGTGTTTATGGACAGAATAGTCTCACACGTGAATGCTCAATTCATATTACTTTCTGATAAATAAATATTTTTTGAATGGGAAATGGAAAGAATTATATATACTTAAAATTAATAACCAAGCGTTTTCTCATATATAGGAAAATAATGAATATTTATTTATTATTTCAAAAAATTAAAAATTTAAATCTTGACTCATCTTGTCTCCCTTTTAAAATTTCTTTTTATAAAGTATACATATGGTATTCACTAATTGGATCATTTGATGAAAATAAGTATATTACTTTCATCACTTCAATTAATATTTTTTATTTTTTATTTTAATAAGAATAATAAAAAAAGATGGTTTTATTGGATGTTTAGCGAATCCAATACCAATAATAAATAAATAAATAACTTTTCTCCAACTCTAAATTTTGTCAAATTACAACCCATGATTGAAAACTTTTTTCTTCAATTTCCAATTGGAAAAAATAAAAAACTAAAGCAAAAAAGTCTTTGTAAAGTATATTACAATTTGCACTGCTCAAAACCCTATCAAAATATACAAAGCTAGCCTTATATTATATCTCTAATTCCCCAAAAAGAAAGCCATTTCCATTATACCAACTTAAAAAGCTATGGTAGAGGAAAATCCACATCTTCCATAAGCACCAAAAAAGGCAAGAAAACAGTTGAACATGTAAAAATATCCCCAGTCTTTTCCAAGAGATGACAATGATGCTTCTAAGATATACAGCTAACAGTTATAAAACTAACTTAAAAAAGTAAGTTCACGTTTGCATTGATAACTTGACAGGTGAATCTCCAAGATCCACTCAAGTAAGTTCGCTGTTGAGATTCTCAAGAAATTGGAAATGAACTATTATAAATAAGCTCTGCATGTATACTTACTCTCCACAGCAAGCTACCACCATAACAATCTCCAGCAATTTTCTCCATTTTCAAAATCTCTCGAACACCCTAATTTTCTTTTCTTTATATCATTGCAAGGGTCTTCTTGTTACAATGGCACCACCACATGGAGAGGCTCTTACCAGCACTTATAACAAGACTAAAAACTTCTCCAAGCCTCCGAGACTCTCTAGTAATGATAATCTCCAACGAACAATATCTGATATATCCATTGAACTGAGTAAGGAAGCCATTGATATCAAGCTTCCACCAATATCAGAAGTTGAAGATGCGAAATGTGAGTGTTGTGGAATGAGTGAAGAGTGCACGCCAGAATATATTGATCGCGTACGCGGTAAGTTCTTGGGGAAGTGGATTTGTGGGTTATGTGCAGAGGCAGTGAAGGAAGAGAAGGAGAAAGATGGTGGAAAAAATATAGAAGAGGCTTTGAATGCACATATGAGTGCATGTGCTAGGTTTAACAAGTTTGGTAGGGCTTATCCAGTGCTTTTTCAAGCTGAGGCAATGAGAGAAATGTTAAAGAAAAGCACAAGAAGGGCACAATCTATTAGTCCTAAAGGTGCTCCAAAGAATGGAGGAATTGCGAGGAGCTCAAGTTGCATGGCAGCTATTACACGAGATATGAATAATCTCCCAATGGCAAAATAAGTTTGCCAACAGTATTCTATAATTATATTCTTATAATTTGAGTCTTTACTTAGCAACTAATAACAATTCGATAACATGTTCATGGATCGAGTTTGGACTTGGAAAATTCAAAATTTTCCAAAAGCTGGGTCCATAAACAAGTTTATATATTTATATTATAAATATAGGTATTTATATATATAATATATGTATAGATTTTCTCTTCAGGTCGTGCACATGTTTCTTCCTGGCTTCTTTTTATGGAACAAACCCTTTCTTTACCTCAAAAAGGTATTTTGGTGTTAGGCTCCATATGTTTATCGCTATAATTCAAACTGAGAGGCGCATTGTAGTTTCCCTCCTAGTTGATTTGATATCCACATCGCTGCATATATATATAGATTTCTCTTTCAGGTCGTGCACATGTTTTTCCTGGCTTCTTTTTTTATGGAACAACCTCTTTCTTTTACCTCAAAAAGGTATTTGGTGGTTAGTCCATATTTATCCTATAATTTCAACTGAGAGGCATTTTAGTTTCCTCCTTAGTTGATTTGATATCCACCTCCTGCAGGGTTTTAAGTTCTAGGGTTTTCCTTGGTGGTTTCAAATATTGCCCTTCCCTTCCCATGCAGGGTTAATTATTTAATTCATATGATTAACAATTGATCAGCTTGTATTTGGGGTCCTTTTTTTGTGGTGGGATTGTTCTAAATTATCCATTTATTCTCGTTGTTCCTGCCACTAACTCTCGAAAATGTACTTCTGTGTACGAAATAACCAAGGCTGTGGTTGTTAGATGGTGTGGAGGGTTGTCCCAAGTCCTCACTTTTTACTCTAACTGCAAGGTCTTCACTCTTCATTTAATTTCATAATCTGTAACCCAGTTTACTGCGCATTTTATGTATCTGACTACATACATGTATCGTAGTAAGCATTATGAATTTAATAAAACATTACGTTGCTTTGAATTTATAAATTGAGTTTTTCTTTTTAACTCATGCCTACCATGTTCGGCAACAACATTAGAAATAGTGTTTAACATTTTCATTTGGTGACACATCCTTTATAAGAGTATCAGATATTAAGATGAGATTGAACTTTTCAACCAGCAACCAGAAAGGGTTTGTCTAGTAAAACAGGCGCTATCTATCTAAAACCATTTGCTATAAAACTGTCCACTGTTAATCCCAGCTGTATGCTACTTATTCCTTCAGGGCTACTATTAGACCAAAAAAAAAAGGGATTATAAATTCAATGAAGAGAAAAGCTTGAATCTTTATAAACCCATTCCTCAATAATGACTCGTATTGATAATAATTTACAGTATCAAAATTTAGGGGAAATGAATTCAGTTCTTCCAGAAAAAGTAGAATATTGAATTTAATAACACCAACAACCGGTCTCCTTAACTACCATTCAAAAAATTATTAACGAAGATCCAAAACAAGACTGTAGGACTTGCTTCCATTTCCTGCCTTGCTAGAATAAGTTACAACAAAACCGTTCGTTTTGCAAATAAAGAGTCCATGCCTACTTAGCATCATACTCCAGCACTTGGCCGCTGCGGAAAATAAATGCAAAAAGAAATTGTAGAGCTACTCTAGGTGCTCCTTTCAGGGGGTAAAGGCTCTTGAGATCTATGTCATTTAGCCTCATTTGAATTATGAGCAGGAGAGCTGCCCCTTCATTTAGTTCAGCCAATCTAAAAAATAAATAAAAAGACCAAAGCAGCTTTTCAACAAAGTGATTGTCGAATACAACCATCCATGCAATTTCTTAGGGCAATGATTCCCACACACAAAATGAAATTTAGTACATTGCAGATTTATAGGTATTACCAAGTATACCAAGGTTGTAATAGATAAAAGATAAACAAGCCAACAAAACAACACTGACGCAGTTCTAGTTCTCTTTCTTTTCACTTACTGGATTCTGGTCCAATTCTCATACAAAAGACCAGTTTATAAACATAAAGCAGATGCAGTGTGCATTTTCTTCTTCATTTAACACCTTCCAGGCAACTGCTCTCTCATACGAGACCGGTCTGCCCATGCTTGACAAACAGATACCACCTTGAAGACAAGCAAAACCCTGGCAGGACAAAGGCATTTCAGACAAATAGTATCAAACTAAGTCTGTTGTAGTCTCCCTATATATGTTGCCTTATACGAAGGGGAATAAAATTAATGTATATACATAGATATATTGTGTGAGAATTGCAAAAATATGGATTTGAACTTGAATATCTTAACACAAGTGTTTTAACAGTATGCCTTTATATTCCCAATTGCTTTCATAGGCATAATTTCTCAATTTCATATGGTTATTTCTTTTTTACTTGGATTAGATTCAAGGGAGAAATACAAACCTGTTGCATTATCTGTGGGAATTCTGAGCAGAGTGTCTTTCGTCCATGGTCATCAAATATCTTCTCCAAAGTAATGTCTTGCAAAGCAACCAAAGTTGTTTCCAACATGTCAAGCCCAGCTTGGTTCGCAAAGGTGAAGACTGGCAATGCCTGAAATTGCCATCTTTTTAGAACAAAATGCTTCAAATGCAAAAGTATGGAACTTACGAAATAATTTAGAACCATATGACTTGGAATTCACATCTAAATACATAACTGCAATGCAACCAAATCAAAAGAAGCCATTAATATACTCAATTTGCATTTGGAGAATAAATTTTGAAGTTTAGAATTGGATTCGTTTCATGTATTCATTTAAAGCCGGAGAGCAATAAAATAACAAACCAGTTAGAAAAGACTCCAATTTCCTTAATTTCTAGGACATAAACAACACCATTATAAGATGCATAATCAGATCAGATTTTAAGGATTTCCATTTCAAGTATCCATTGCAAGAAAAAGAAATAAAGGGAAAAGAAGTAGTATGGACCTTCAGGGAACAGCACATGATAGCATCAGAGTGATGCCACAAGGTTTTGAGGACAGATTCACTTCCTTCACTGCTGGATTTGAGTAGCTCCACACCCAGATAGCACCTGCAAAGTTATGAACACAGTATCTTCATTCAGCATGATGCTTCCTTGCCCACAAAGCTCTAAAACAATTATCAACTATGACATCCTAATAATGTCTGACAAGCAGGCATCATACAAGTCAGAACACAATCTAGCATTTCTTTTCCTTTCATATCACAAATTCATGCTAATTATAAAAATAATATTCCATTAAGAGGTTAAATTAGAGCTATAAACTATGAGAGAGAATTTTAAATGACCAACAGTAATTCATCTTTCAAGTCCATATTTTCTATTTGAAATGAAAATAGCTTGTTAGAATGACGTATCTCTCCCTATCAAATTTACATCTAAAATGAACAAGAACAAGCTACAGAAACTGGTCAAAAGAAAAAGAAATTGATTCCTCATGTTACAACACAAAATAAGGATTTCAAGTTTTTCACCACAAACCATTCAGTGGCCAGAAAAATATCTCATCGTTATAGAAAATAAATTCAATTAAATGTAGTAGGCACACAATCTGACACCATAGCAATATACTGTCTGATTGAGATAGTATTACTCTGAGGGCATACCTATAACTCAGGCAGATCCAACGAGCAAGCGTCTGTGCTTCAGGAGTACCAAGTGGTGGCCGAAGACCGGCATGTGACCCCAAATGAGAAGGAGATAGTGCTAATGCCACCCTCTGAACTGAGGATATAATACTGCGGACGTATTGCCGGGCCATTGATGCTACATGTTCTTGCATATGGCTCTCAAATGCAAATTCAAATGCAATTGTCATGACAGATCTCACACAACCAGAATTAGCAGAATACTCAGTAGAAGATTTGTTTCCAGCTGGTCCAATTTCAAGAGCAGAAGCAAGATCCAGGGTGCGATTTGGACTTGAGGCTTCCTGCATAATTAATAAATAATAAACATAAAAAATGAAAACATAAGAGAAAGGCATGGAAAAATACATGACTGCAATACAACTAGCTAACCTTGGCAGAATCAAGGGGAATGATGCGAAAACCAGAAGGTAGAAGAGGAGCATCATCAGCAAAGGACGCATCAATGGGAGCAAATATAAGTTCAGCACAGGTACCAATAGCATTCTCATCCATTCCACTACAGAGCTGTCAAAACAGTACAAAAAGAGAATACTAAGCCAGAGAACCATTAAGAATAACACTACATAAAAGGCAACAGGTGCTACCATCAAGCAGTAGCTTCCCAGCCCAAAATACTTAAATTCAGAGTCATAGGGCGTAAAACTAACCAGAGACAACCAGTTATCATTAAACGACTGAGCATACTGCCAATTTACAAAAACCATTATATAATAGCAACCTAGTTCTAGTCAACATACATCAGAAGAGAAAATTGGAGAACCAATAAGTAAAATTTCCTTTCATTCTATGAACTTCTGCTAGTAAAAACACTCTCCATCTTTCAACAGAGAAGGAAAGGTCAATCCCTCAGTGAGCTAAGTGGAAGATTGGAAGAGGGTAGAAAGTAACATAAAAAATAAAGAAATAAAATAAAATTCTCTTTGCTAAGTGTTTGGAAATAACTCGACAATCCATTTAAGGTAAATGCCACAATAAATGCATATGCTGAACACTAGCAGAAGTGGGAGATTCAACAATTACATATCAATAATTCCACATAAGAGTTTGAATGAATACCTTCATGTTTTATGCTTTCTCACTCTATAATTCCTTCATAATTCAACGGCCTTATTCAATCCAATCTTTTTTTTTGTTCAAAGGTAAAATCAAACCCTTGAATCCACACAAATGTCAGTTCCATTATACTAGGTCTCATATCTTGTCAAAGTCATTTCTCAAATTTGGTTCAGATTCTTTATATAATAACAATAAGAACAAAAATTTGCCCCAACCTTTCCATCTATTATCTTAATTCATTTTTCTTTCACAAGACATAATCCTTTATGGTAAAATCTGTCCAGCTAAAGCAAATGGAGCGAATCCAATGCTCACAAAAGAAACGGGAAAACTCACTTGGGACGAGGAATAAGAGTTAATAAAGGGTCGCCACCATGTCAAGCCCAAAATGGATTTGAACACCAGAGTGGCATTACCACAGAAAGCAGAGTAAAGAAACAATACTTACTTGCAAAAGAAACATGTCCCTAGGCATTATTGGATCTTCAGGAGAATGGCCCACTCCTTCCAGTTTAATAACCTCCAAGAACTAATAAGTACAAAGTGAATTCAACTTATTAAAAAGAGTAAAAGACAATAAAGAAGCAATTCACTTAATTTAAGAAGCAATTCACTTAATTTCACAATATAATAGCTTTGCAATTGTATCAACTCCCACACCTCTTCATGTTCAATAGTGTGAGCAAGTGGGAGTATGACTTGACCTCCGAAACTTCCAACTCTAGCCCCCGGTAAGCTACAAGGACCAATTTTAATCGCAGCAGCTGAGTAAGCATCAATGTTGTTGTCTGCCCATTCTGACCTGTGCTCCCTCAAGAACCTAAGAAGGATTGCAGGAGGAACATTCTGACAAAATAAAAGCACGTGGCACGAGAGGAGAAAAAATGATAAAATGTTAAACAATAATGTAAGGTACGAGAAAAGATAAGAAAGCATGATATCAGAAGAATTTCTACCTCCGAATAACTTCAATTTTGCAGGGGAGATCCCCAGAAAAAGCACAAATATAACATTTAGTGCTAAAAGAAACTATGAATTGTATATATTCTAGACAATGATCATCAGAGTTACAAAACAGATCAGACAATAAATATGTGAAAACATGATTTTTAATCAAGAACTTGATTGTTGAAGTTACACATGATACATGCAGAATTACAGACACAATCTCCTAGAAATGGTAAGTTCTCCCCACAACAGCTAAAGAGATAGCAACTTAAAAACTTAACAAGTGTGCAAGCAGTACTTGTTTCATATTATTCCCCAGAAAACCTTTGGATTGAAAAGTTTTTTGGCATCCTAACCTGTAAAAGCATCGATGCTTTGGCACATAAAACTGCATTGCTGACAGATGGAAATCCATTAGTAAAGGAAAGATTTAAACCCATCAGCTTCTCAGGAGATGAATTCACAAGGATAGTCACATCATCCATGCCATCATTTCCCATCATTGACCATCCCTCGTCAGTAAACCCATTAAGAGCCTCATTAAAACCCCTGCCAGTCACACAATAAGATTCCAAATGTAAGGTAATAAACTAACAGACTGTATTAATGCTGTAAAATAGTAGGAGATAATGACCTGCTTAACCTCTGACTCAATGCTCGTAGTGCTGCAGGTCGTCTGCCCCAGTTGGTTACATTAGACTGAGAAACCTCCTGAGCTATCTGCCGCAGCTGGCGCAGACCCTGAATGAAAAATGCAATAAATACTTGAACTTAGATTCTGTACTTTTCATAATTTACAATTGCATCATTCTGCAACGCATAGACGCTTAAATTGTTGAAAATCTCAAAAAGCAGAAAAAACTTATAATCTTACCGCCATTGTTGTCTTTTGAGCAAGAACTGTTGATGATTCATACAGGGGCCGCAGCACTTCAGGCACGCTCCAGGGCTTAGTTGAAGAAAAGATGAATACCCAAATTATCATCCATTTTCAGTCAATTAAGAACTTCAAATCAGAGCTAAGCTAAGAGAATGAAATGAAAATTATGCAAAGGATGCCTACCTCTAAATCCATGTGATCAACTATGTGTATGATTGAGCCACCCCCTTCACAAGGTCTTATCAGGTACCCACTTGGCAGCATTTCTGCTCTCACAAAATGCTGTACTGGTGGCATGCTCGGGCCATTTTGAGTATTTTTGAGTGACCTCTCACAGATCTAAATTTTGCATCAGAGTATGAAATGGACAGAAATATTATTAAATAAAAGAGCTTAAAAAGGCAACAGTGCTGAGCTAAAAATTGAAACATTTGAAGAACGTACCACGAGGCTGCCATCCTCTAGAACAGAAGTATAGCGCAACAACCAGAAGTCACGAGCAGGCGCCAATGTTGTCGGCGCATAAAGCTATAAAATCAACAAAATTTTGTAGTTATAAGCAATTTACATTCTAGAATCCTCCGACAGACATGATAAACACAGGATTATTTGTCTTTACCTGCATGTACAGCAGCTCAATGGTTCCACCATTGGCAGTGGGCAGCACATTCAGCACATCCACAGCTCGGCAATCACGAAACCATGATGGCCGATCCTTGAGGATTTCTGCAACCTGGAAGGGAAAAAAAAAAGTAGAGATTCACTTTATTAGCACAATTTCTAAAAAAAACAAAAGGAATATATATCTATTGACCAGAATATATGGAAATCATGCTCGCAAACAAACAGTAGAGTCACGAGCAGCGCGCCAATCGTTGTCGGCGCTAAAGCTATAAAATCAACCAAAATTTTGTAGTTATAAGAGCAATTACATTCTAGAATCCTGCCGGACAGGAACCATGGATAAACACAGAATTATTTGTCTTTACCTGCATGGTTTACAACGCAGCTCAAATTGGGTTCAACCAACACACCAAAAGGCATCATACCATTGCAGTGGGCAAGCGACATTCCAAGCAACTTTCCAATGCTCGCAATACGAACCATGATGGCCGATCCTTCGAAGCGATTTTCTGCAACCTGGAAGGGAAAAAAAAAACAGTGAGAGATTACAGCTTTATTGAGCACAATCTTGTCCTAAAAAAAAAAAAACAAAAGGAATTATATATAATATATATATATATCTATAATATATACACATCAGCTCAAATTACAAGAATCATAAAAAAAGGAAAATATTATACTTACCCTTGTAGGTTCTAGACCCACCAGGCCACAGGCTCGTGCTGCCACGCCAGTGCAACCATGAGAAATAGCAATGATTCCAATGGAATCCGGACCAGGCTGCACACAACAGAAATATTTTGCAAGGAGAAAACAAATTAGTCAACAACAAGCTCTTCAATCAAACAATTGCTGGTAAGGGATAAAATTATGGCGAGCAAACTAATTTTATGTGTCTGCAGATTCAAAACTTCATATTTAAACAACCAAAAAAAAAAAAGAGGAAGATGGTGTCAAGGAGCATAGCATTATTAAGGTTTGTAATACAAATATTAAAGATAGGAACTTCAGTTCATTGTTCATTCCCCTCCTTTGTTTCTATCTTGCACAAGATTTTACAAAAAAAAAATATACATACATACATACACACATACATATATATGTGTGTCACACACACACACACACCCATATTTTAACATTTTTCTAGATACCATTTCTTAAGTTAAACAAAAAATTTTAAAAAGGACAAAAAGTGCTACAAGGTACCTTCATTCCAGGCATTTGGACCCACTCCACAGCAGTTCCAGTGGCCTTTGAAAGAAACTCTGTTAAAGTCTCTTCTGCAATGGACAAAAGCCTGGGAAAAATACAAGTACGAATTAAATATTCCTCACGCATATAAACACATATACACAAAGTGGTCACAGAGCACGATAACAGAAAAGGACTCAACAACCATATCCCCACTAACCCTGCAGGACTGGCATCCCTTGGCGGATGCTGAGGTGTCAAATGGTGTTGACCGCTTGTCACCACTGATTCACAACTTGTATCTTTGGTTGCAAGCGTCGTCTGTAAGAAAAAAACTAATATATCTCAATTTCCATACAATTAAATAATATTTCAAGTAAACAAAAGAAATAGAAAGCCCCCATATTGCTAACGCAAATTACAAAAAAGAAATGCAGTCCCCTAGTCTCAAAGGGAATGGAGTGGGAATAGCTATTTCAAAGTTAATGCTTTTTTCTCTTTAATAACACATCAAACAGCGTATGATGTGAAGGATGAAAATGTAGCAATTAAGGCTTAAATTCTTACGTTCTGAGTATGTTGGCGAAAGTGGCCATTCTCATACACCAGCTGCGACACCTGCTTCTGCAACCTATCATTCTCCTCCATAAGCAGCTTGTTCATTGCCGTCAGCTTCCTATTCACTGCTTGAAGGCGAGATGCCTCTTTCCTCTGCTTCTCTCTGCATCTGAAAAATCAAAACAAGACATAAAACACACTGTCGTAACACTGCAAGAGAATCCAATTATAAAATGATTGAAAATATCATTGTTCACTAAAAGAATGATCAAAGAGAACTAAATATTGGAAAAAAAGCAGAGAGGACGTACTTAGGAGAGGTGCATGTATCAAATGTGAAGTTTAATGTCAATAAACAAGTGCAAAGTTCATAAGATCAATTTTTAGCAATTTAATTACATTGCACCGAACAAGAAAAACTTCAAGATCAAATTAATATTTGTTTCCGTTGCAGTTATCATTTATCAAAAGGGGAAATATAAGCATAATGAAGAAAAAAAAAAAAAAAAAAAAAAAAAAAAAAAAAAAAAAAAAAAAAAAAAAAGAGATTCCTATAATGTGAAGAGGAGGGAGGCTGCTCATACCTTCTATTTTGGAACCAAACTTTGATTTGTTTGGGTTCAATGTTGGAGAGAATTGGGCACTCTCTAATAAACTGTTGGCGGCGAATGGAGCTGGGTTTGGGGCACTCATGATAGAGCCTCTCCAAGGCTTCGACCTGCTCAGGCGTGTAGCGAACGTACTTGCCATTATCCAAGTTCGCTGGTTGCTTACCATCCTTGCAGGACATTGCCATCTTAAAATTCAATTTCACTACAAATCCTCACAGATAGCCACTAAAAGAGATGCAATCCAAAAACCCAGGTTTCTTTTCCTTAACACAATCTCAAGCAGCTCCAGCAACAATTCAAACAAAAATCTCAAGTACCTCTTTCCTTCCTCAAAGCTAAATAGGATTCTAGCGGCTGTTCTTAGACGCAAATTCAAAATAACCGCATATAACCAAATCTAACCCGAGTAGCTTCCCTCCCTCAATCACAATTTAAACCTTTATGAGGAGCTTCAAAATCCCAGATAGAAATGATACTGCAATTGATAACTTAACCCAAATTCAAAAGAAGCTATAAACCTAAAACTAATCCAAGTAGATTTCCATCATCACTGATTTTAACACATTGTGTAGCTTAAGATAAGTATTAAAAAACTGACACAAGTGGGACTCCACTCAAACTTGAAACCACAAATTACAGTGCCCGCAAAAATCTAAAGGAAAGCAAACCCAGCTAGTTTATCCTCCTTAATCACAACCTTACTTACGTTCTAGTAGCCAAAACCACTACAAAATGGATACAACTGTAAATCTTCGAACTTTTTTATTTCTTCAATGTTTGATTGTGAAGAGCCAGGATAGAGATAAAGCCACCAGGAGCAGCGATATCCAGATGGGAGACATCGTTATCCTCGTTTTGTCTATTATTAGACAACCCCAAAACACAAGAAAGCATAAACCTTTCGAGATCAGAGCTCAACACCAAACGATCTATTTCACCAAAACACCGAAAATGCTTCACGAAACCACCAAAAACAATTAAATAAAAAACGATTCGACCCCTTAAAAGCCGACTCACCACTGATTGGTAATCAAATAAGAGATCTCCTCCTTCACCAACCAAAACGGCACCGTACTGCCGATCCAAGCTTCGGAAACAATCATTCTCAGTCGCTGAAAGTTCATTTCCTAGACGCTCATAACAACAAAGTGAAAAAACAGAAACGAAGAAAGGAAAGCAAAGCGTTTCCGTTTTTTGAGAAAAGTTTTTGGCTTTTGCAACATGTGAAGGATTTAGAAGCCAAAAAAAAAAAAAAAAATGTGAATGGATTTAGAAGCAAAAAAATAAAAAAAAAAAAAAAAAAGAGTAAAGTGGTTTTGAAATTTTGAGAGAGCAATAAAAGAGCAAAAGAACAGAACAACCTCAGCTATCGAAGACGGAGGAGAAAGTAAATGGAAGTAAAGTACTTTGGTTTTGCTTTTGTTGGTTTGTTTTCATTGTTTTTTGTTCTGTATTTTGAGGTTTTTGCTGCGTTATTGCGTGTGTTTTCATGTGTGGATTTTTCATTGGTTCGTCGCTTTCCGATACACAGACAAGAGAGTTACACAGTCTTCTCTCTTTGAGCTCCACTGTGTGGGGGAATGGGAGGAGCATTTCTTTTTTTTTTTTAATGTTTTTTCAAATTGGTGAGCCTTTGTAATGACAAAAATGCCCTCTTTTTTTATGTTACTCCTTTTATCCTTGTCTGGATAAAATGTCATGTTTACGTGGTTAAAATAACTTTTTGTGAAATTACCATGAGTGTGACTTCTAGTTACAATGAGTGTCAATTTTGTTATGCAAAAACTTACCCCATCATGTTTTTTTCTTTCTTCTCTTTGCATAGTACAAATCTTTAATCTTTATTCTTTTTTTGAATTTATTTCAATTAAGTAAGCTTTTACCAAATTTAGGTAGATTTTGACATTTTTTTATCATGTTTTCCAAATAAATAATAAAAATAATGGACTAAAAGTTTGAAACTTCGTTGACATTTGTTTGACGATGATACAAAAGTGTGATAGGATGTATTTTTCTTAAATGTAAAAATATTTATTGAAAAATTAAAAATTTATTAAACCATATTGATTGAAATTTCAATTCAATTAGACTAATTTAACTGTGAAACAATTTGAAACCTATGAACTTACTCAGATGTCAATAATATTAGTGAAATTATACAATTTAAAAAAAAAAAAAAAAGAGGAATGGGATGTGATTTTAATAATTTAAAAAAAAAAAAAAAAAAAAAAAAAAAAAGAGGAAATGGGATGTGATTTTAAATAATTTAAAAAAAAAAAAAAAACAGCTATTTGGCAAGAGTATTAAAAAAAAAAAAAAAAAACAGCTAATTTGGCAAGAGTAATTTTTGTTGGTGTGAACAGGCAATAGTGCAGGAAACTAATAAGAAAAAAAGCTTTTAGGAAGTGGGTGGCGAAATGGTAAATTAATAAAAGTAAAGAGGGTAATAAGAGAAAAAAAAAAAAAGGAAAATGCGCGAATCGGGAGCTTATAAAATACTGAAGGCATGGAGAGAGAGAGAAAAGTAAGCAGTTTGCGTGGGGACAGAGAGGACACCATGATGGCTTTTTTTGCATGCGTCTCGATTTTAAAGCTGAATCCCAAAAAAGAAAAAAAAAATTAAAAACCAAAAAAATTGAATTTATCCTCAGCCAATAAAATAATGCTACGTCATCATCATGGCAGACATACGCCTGCAAAACCCGTATGTACGCAACAAATGCATGCAGGATAACAAATACCTCTCTACATACATGATACATCACATTATTAATATATATGTGTGCGTATAGGTGACATGACATGACATGACATGTGAAATGGATATATATAGTATTATGGTGGGTGTGCGATGTAATGTGTGGGAGGGTAGGGACAGATAGGGTGTTAGCTGAAGCCTATCGCTGGATGTGTCTGTCTGCGTGTGATGGGTAAAAGAGAAAGGAGAAGAGAGGATCATAAGTCATAATGGAAGTCACAAAATTAAATTTGGAAAATTTATTAGTTGGAATCATACAGCTAATTTGTTTGTTTGCCTCATCTGAAAAGACAAACCAGTTAATACCGAGAAAAACAAAACAAATATTGCCACTTAAGGAAAATACTTTTTAACCATTATTTATTTTGCAGTCAGTATATTTTTTAAAATTTTTATGTGCTAAAAAAAAGTACTACAGTCACTATAAATTTAGTAGGCATAATACGTTGACCTAATGTATATAGGAACTTAGTTGGTTCATGGACTTATCCGATTGAATTCGAAAAAAATTAAAAAAAAAATCAGTTTAAATTAAATTTAAATTCAAGTTTAATGATATTTATCTTGAGATTTAGATTGATATTATTAAACTTTTGTTATATATATATATTAATTAAAACTTTAGTTATAATATAAATATATTACTATATGTATATAATATAGCGTTATATATAATTTATATATTAAATATATAATTAATTTCTAAAGGGCAATAGATATATTTTCGCGTTTCAATTCAAAACTAAAAAGTAAATAGAAGAAAGGTAAAATTATATAATTATTTCAAAGGGCAATAATATTATTTTTCGCGTTCATTCAAACTAAAAAGTAAATAGAAGAAAGGTAAAAACAATAAGAGAAGAAGGAAAATTTTTTGCACATCATTGTAAAACATTTAAAAACTTACGTGCAGTGAAAACGACTGATACTAAGCACAAAGAAATCTGAAATAGTTTGTAAGTAAAAATTTATAAATATCTATCCATTTTGTTAAATTATTTATTAATTATGACTGAATAATTCTTTTTGAATTTAACCTTGAGCTCTTCAAGTTTTAGATTTCACGTGCAGGATATTTATAGATGTTCAATTTTTGTTTTAGTTTGACCCTTTACACACTCCATCTTTCTTTTTGTTGATTCTTTTAAATCATAATTTACACGGTTTTTTCATGAATAATAAGTTTTTGTTGTGCTTATTTGATTAACTCCATGTATAAAAAATTTTTAAAAGAAAATATAAGATTATAGTAGTTTAAGCTATTAATCTATTATAAGATTACAATATTTATGAATGACATTTTCTTTATTATATTTATTTTTAATACATCACAATTATTTAAATTTTTTATGACAAGGTCATATCTTTATAGTTAATTTTTTTTTACAATAAAATTTATTTATAGTATAAATGTTGGATGATTTTATTATAATTTGAAAATTGAAAAAGCAAGGGTAGATTGGATAAGAGTTATAATCCATGAAATAAAACTTGTGTAATTTAAACTTATTTGTTTCTATATATTTTGTTGGAGCAATAAAAATTTTATTTTACTTAATGTTTTAATGTAAACTATTTTTTCTTTTAAGAAATAAATAATCAAACCGTAAAGCACTTGCGGAATTAATCACCATTACTTAGGTTATAAATTCGATTATCTACAACGTAAATTCTCCCCAGCTAATCTATTTACCTCTAAGGGCGAGCAAGGATTAATTAGATTTGTAACCGTTAAATGGAAATAAGTCTAAATACCTTGTAATTGTGGACTATTAAACAAACATGAGCTTGGGTATTGGTTAAAGTATTCAATATTTGGAATATATGTATCTTTAACTGCAAAAATTCACCTTTCTGTTACTCTGTATTTGTATCAATCATCAATAGGTCGTATTGTAAAGAGAGGATTTAACAGAGAAGACAAATATTTAATAGGCCAAGTATAGAATTTTACTACACTTTTTTTTTTTTTTTTTCATAAAATTTAAGAGTGAAAGTATACGGTTGACTATAAACTTTGTCAAGTTTGTCACGTGACACAAACGTGATACTGATACATGGTTGCTTAATGCAAGTCGGACAGTAAGAGATTTCATTTCAATGAGCAAGGACAAGTATGGATCGCTAAAGGGAGCGAAAATGTAGTTTGCTGACATGGCGAGGATTCGATGATGGAATGAGAAGATTTTAATCGGCGGAGGAACCTATGTGGCTATAACTCTAGAGTGCTAAAGCTCATTAAAATTGGGCCATTTACTTGAAGCACAATAAAAGTTAAAGCCCAATTTATTTAAGAGTAAAAACTGGCGTATTGGCATATTGCTGGTGTCCAAGCCCTTTCATTTTTATAGTAAGCATTTGGAAGTAGAATCAATACAAACCGATCTAATTTGATTTTTTTTTTTTTTTTTAAAATTTGGTTATTTAGATATTTAGTGCTGTTTTGATTTTTATTCTATTATGCAAAATTGATCAGAATTAACCGGACCGACTTAAATCGAAAGGAACCAAAAAATTTGATTTATTTCTAAATGAATTTCGATGCGGTTTTGATATAAGGAAGAAAACAAGCGAATTATTTGCACGTTGGGTGCAAATATATTTAATGTATAAATATCTTATAGTATTTATAAATATATTAAATTAGATAATAAAAGTGCTTAATTATATATAAATATCATATGTAATTAATTAAGAATATCAATTTGTATTATTTTTAATAAAATTAAGATAAACCTTTGGTATTTTAATTGAATTTAAAGACAATTGATACTAATGAGTATACAAAAAATAAATAATGAAAATTATAGTTTTGGAAATGTTATTGCTATATTCAATTTATATTATATTTTAGATTTTTAAAAATAAAAGCAAAAATTATAGTATTATTGTGAATAAAAGTTTAATTCTTGGTATTTGTTACATGTGAAAAGAAAAAAATCATTTGACTATCGTGTTTGGTAAGTACAACGTTTAACTAAATATTTCTAATTAAATATTTTTAAAATTTTTCTTTATAATTTTATGAGGTACTCGTTTTAGTTAAGATTTACATTTATCTTTAAAACATCGTAATAAAAGTATTTCAATGTAAGTTAATTAAATATATAAAGATTTTTCTAATAAAAGTAGGAAAATTATATTTGAATTTATTTATATAAAAAATAATAAATAAAAATTCATATAAAATAAATTTAATTTTAATACAATAATCCAACTAATTTAAGTGTCAATATTAATATATTAAATATGTCTGTCTCATTGCATAAACTAATTGAAGAATATAAAAATATATTTTTTGGTGAGGTTTAAGTAATTTCTATGCATGAAAATTGTATCATCCTTGTCTAAGTTAAAAATTTTTTTTCTTAGTGTATATCAAGGTAAGCATTAATTTTTTTTTTTAAAAAAAGTTCCAAATGCATAATTATAATTATATTGGACCACAAAAATATTAAAAATTTATAGACCATCCTCTGATTTGTCAAACAAAAAATTGATTCTAAAAATTATTTTTTTATAATATAATTTGCAATGAAATAGACATAAAGGTGACTAAAAATTAAAAAAAAGGAAAAAAAAACTTTAATCTTGGCTGCTCAACCCAGTGAAATGGGCAAGTGGCGATCACAGTTTGTCTACGTGGCAGTTACATATTATAGTTAAGGACATTAGAGCAAATCCAAGGAAAACAAATGTCAAATATGTTAATTACATATAAGGGTAGAATAGGTAGTTTAAGCCAAAATCACTGTTCATACAACAGTGGTTTTGGTTTCCGTTTTAGTATATATATAATTTTGATTTTTTTGGATTCGGTTTGATTCAAAATAATTATTATGGATCAAAAACACAAAATTTAATAGTTTTAAGATACTTTTTTTCCCTCCTATTAATAATTCTAAAAATAATGTTACCATAAATTCATTATAATTTTACGTGTATTTATGAATAAATTTTATATTAATAAAATAAATTTATTAAGCAAACAAAATATAATCTTATATGAATTAAATATTTTTTAAGTACAAAAAGTTAATGAAAATAGATATTGACTAAATGAAAAAAGTAGTGAAAACGAAATTACCTCAACACCAATAATAATGAATTCTCTTATTCAATGGTACTAAATGAAAACCAAACTACCTTAACACTTAAAACACTAATGTTTTTTAAATCTGACTGGACGTCAAACCGGATTGATGACTGAATCGCAGTTGGACCGAGTCAACTTGGTTAAACTGAATTTTATTATTTTGTTCAATAATTGTCTTTAAAAAATGAAAAATATAGTTAAATAATTTTATAGGAAAAACTAATACCATTCTATATTAACACAAAATATTTTTGATATTTTTTAGATATCAAAAATTTTATATTTATATTCTATTTATAATTACTTATTTTTAATATATACTTTTTATCTTTTTTTTTTAGATTAGAATATATTATTAATATCTTTTCAAATAATCTAATTAATAAAAAAATTTTAAAAGTTACAAGTAAATATAAATATCTTTTCAAACTCATTATTTAAAAAAAAAAAAAAAAACCATTTGTGGTCCAAATTCCAAAATGGACTTTACGGTTCTCAAAGCCAAAGCTAGTACTACACAGATAAACGTTGGTGGGCAACCCTACAAACATCATAGTACAACCAATGAGAAAGCCCTATAGGAGGCTAAAAGAAGCGAAAAAGTTTCTAGCAAAACTAGCCAAGAAGTCGGCACTGTAGTTAGCTTCTCTGTAAAAATGGGAAAGCCTACAAACCCAATCCTGTTGGAGGAGCTGTTTAATGGCTAAGACAAGTTGAAAAACCCTTCCATGAGAGGTGATGCCACTATTTACAAGCTGGACAACAATTTCATTATCACATTCAATGAGCAGGTGGGAGACCCCAGTAGCTTTAGCCATCTTCAGGCCTTCGTGAAGCGCCCAAAGCTCCGCTTCAGGCACGGAACAAGAACCAATGTTAGAAACAAACCCTTTAACCCATTTTCCTGAACCAATGTTCACAAGTTGAATCTCTCACTGTCTCTTATCATACTTCTCAAACGGCACAAATCTTCTGATTCTTTAATAGTTTCATCAAGCCATTTATTCTCCTTCTTCTGCCTTTATTTTATATTTTTTTTCTTTGTTTTTTTCTAATTGCTATTGGCTTTATCCCTCTTTTGACTGAGTAGATGTAGATCTATGGATCTATTCTTAATTTGTGCAGGTTTGTGTTTGCATTACATGGATATTTTGCCTAATTATCTTCAATGAGGATTGTTGTTCATTTTCTTGGTTGTCAAACACCTGTATGTCTTTGCACCTCATTCTTCTCCAAAAACCCTCAACTAAATGATGAAAATTCACGTTAAAACTCTTTGAATCAAGCTTGAGAGTTATAGAAGGGCTTGAAATTAGTGGCATTTCAGCGGGATTCAAGCCAAAAGGGCGTGGTTAACTGAAAACCCGGTTCTTGCCTGTTGGTCCGGTTTCCGGGTATGTATAAAAATAATTATCCTAATCTATTTTTGGTTTTTATTTTAAGCAATTCAGATCTATTTGTTTTCCGTACTGAATCCTGAAGTTTTTATTTTAAACAATTTAGACCTAAACTGTTTTCCCGTTTGCATATCTAACAAAGTTCATAAAATCGGAAAAATTCAAGTCATATCTATCTTTCTTTTTTTTTCTTTCCTTCCTTTGGCGAGCCCTAGTATATTTGTTATTTATTTATTTGTGTTCACGTTTTCTTTCACACTATCTAGCTTTTCTTAGAGGGGATTTGTAAGTGGCCAGCAGGTCAGGTCAGCCGGTGAGTGAGGCGGTAAATAGTTTTTCCCATGTCGTGATTTGATCTTTATAGCTATCAATTGGTGTGGTTAATATAGCACTAGTTTAATAGTGCTGTAGTAGTACATTTTGTGTATAATTGGTATTTTCTTTTTCCATTTAAATTATTTTTTAATTCATATCATAACATGAAATTTCATTTTTATGATTTATAGCTTTTATGGTTCACGACGCTATATTTTGTGCTATTATTAAAATTTGTACCCAATATTCTTCGAAATATTTTATGAGATAACAATGTTTTTAATTCTTAAAATTCCTTTTTTGCACAAAAAAAAAAAAAAAAAAAGAGAGATAACAATGTTTTTTAATTCTTAAAAATTTCAAAAAAAAAAAAAAAAAAAAAGAAATAGACAATTTTCTTAATTTTGTTTTTAATTTATTCTTCTTTCTGATGCATGCAGTCTTAGTTGTCTATTTTGATTTTTGTTAGCTTGTCTCTCATGGTTCTGCATACTCCTCAATTTGGATGAGGATAATATCCTCAAAACGATGGACAAATATGAAGAAGAGAAATGGAATCATAATTTCATAAGCATATATAATATATCCTGTTGCTTGCATCTTTTGCTTATCTTTTGTTTTAGATTTTATCAACTTTGATAGTTATGCAAATTTTCGTTTAGTCACTATCAAAATTAGAGACATCAATACCAATACCATAAGCACTGCATGAATTATATAACCATCAATCCAACTGATATGAATAATAAACTCAGAACCACCTGATTCAAAGAAAGCATTTCGCATGTTTTTTGAGCGGCTGCACAAATTAATTCCCAAACAAACCCAAACATGAGAAAGAGAAAATCAATCTTTAATTAATAGCCCTGGAACTAATTATTGTATATGTATATATATTCACAATGTAAGAAGAGAATGATCAAGTTTGTATACACTAAAGGCTTTTTAGGTAGAATACTCAGGCAATAAGAACGATAGAAGGATTATTTTATTTAAAAATATCTCACAGTCAGTGAGATATATTGCGTTCTCAAATCCTAAAAGGCCATTTTGTGATAAGCAGGATACACGAACTCCATGCATATAGAGAGAGGAGGAGAAGCTAACCTAGGGGAACGAGGAAATAACCTCAGCGCAAAGGAGAAAACTAGAGTTTCGTTAAATGATTAAGAAAGTTAGATTAGGAATATGATTAGTATTAGGTTATCGTATGATTAGGAATATGAAGAATGGAATATGCTTGGTTCCATTCTTCATTTAATTTTATTTGATTTCGTTTCTATCTTATTTAAGAGCATACCTGCTGCTCCTGTTCGTGTTCATAAGCACGAAACTGTTGAAAAAGTAAATGATGTGGAACTTGTTAAGCTTGTTTCCAAGCGTCCGGTGATGGGTATTATTCGGCTCCAGAAGAGCTTCTCTGCGTTCAAGAGTGGGGTCGGTTATTTGTACTATTATATTATTATTAAAGTACTTGTGTGATTATTTTAATACAAAATTGATGTTTGATGCGTTTATTTATGTAGGAGGTCTACCGTCACCCAGTACGTGGGAACACTGCTCAGGTTTAATTGAAGGGTTCAATCATGGCTGTACAAACAATAGAGAAAAATAGATATTTTCTCTGTTTTATGAATTGTCAACTGATGGCTTTATATAGCCAAATACAATGTAACTGAAACTAAGTTAATGGCAAAATATCCTGATACAGTTAATATACACAATAATCACGGAGTTAAATATATGCATAATCAAGAGAATTAAACCAAACGTGTTGACCAAATCTGCTCCTTTATGTATTGATATCTTAACATGCCCCCTCAAGCTGAAGTTGGAGGAGCTTGAAGACGAAGCTTGTCACGATGGCGCAGAAAGAGGTTCATGCCCCCTCAAGCTGAAGTTGGGAGGAGCTTGAAGACGAAGCTTGTTCACGAGGCGCAAGAAAGAGGTGAGACCCCAAAAGGTTTAGTCAATTATGATCAGCAATCTGGTGCCCTGACGCTGTAGATAGAACTTGATTTGAATCTTTTTATGTTGTACTTGATCTGCTTACAAAGTGAACATTGAAGTTCATATGTTTCGTCGATGCATGGAAGACAGGATATTGAGGTTGAAGTAGATTTGCCCCAATATTTATCAACACCATAAACGTAGCTGGTAAAATCAGAGACTCAAAGTCCGATAATAAAGACAAAATCCACTTATATTTCTGATGTAGCATGGCGAATTCGAACGGTATTCACTTTCAGTGGAGGGATCGTGCCTAATTCAGTGGATTGTTTTTTTGAGGACCAAGAGATTAAGTCTATTCCCCAAAATAAATAGCAATAGCCGATGTAGAATTTACGATCATCAAGGGGCAGCTTCAGCCCAATCACTATCTGAAAAAACATTGCAGAAGAAATGGGAGAATCAAATAGAGAGAAAGAGACCCATTAGAAGCAGGTACCGTGTACGATACCGTAGCTAAGCTTTTTGCTGTCTATCCATGAGCTGCAGTAGGATCGATGCATTAATTGGGCCAATTTTTATTGATCTGCAAAAGAACAGTTCCGGCCGAGTGAGTGACATAATTGAATACCAACCAATTTCGAACTCGGATCGTCATAGCCAAATTTCATCGCCATGTTTAAAGGTGGCAGGAGTTTGTTGCGAATGGAGTCAAGTCTTTGTCGATTGCATAATTAAATTGGAGCAACAGAATCTCGAACATACATTTTCTGCTGTGATAGTAGAATTCGCATTGAGGTTGAGATAATCACTCTCAATAAACCCATAAAATAAGTCCAATTTGCCAAAGATCTTCTAACCGGGAAGGCAGATTTTATAAGCGTGCAAAAAGAAACTCTAATTTGCTAAAATTGCGAACATGTGAGGTAAGATGTCATCAACGTAAATCCAAAATAAACTCACTTGGAAGTTACCATCTTGATATAATATTACCAAAGAAGGTTGTCGGCTTTTGGAAGCTTTAAACCCAAGTTGTAATAATAAATTATTCACCTTTGAAACCCGGCAAGCGCGAGGTTGCCTGCGTAAGCCCGTAATAGTGGATTTTTGTTAACTTATCAAACGATAATTCTGGATGATAAACCAGTATATCAATAAACCTTCTGGTCCATATATATATTTCTTCATCAAGAAGATAATCCAATGCAAAATGCATTGGATATATCCAGTTTGTCGAATTGCCCATTTTACGCACAGTTGGTAGATGACATATAAATAGTCGATATGGTGTGTTGCTTTGACTACTGGATCTATATGTCGTCAATTGTAGTCTATTACGGTTGTTGTTGAGAGAACATGTGTGGTCGCTTCGCTACGAACCGCGCTTTGTAACGCATCAATTATCCAACAAATTAGCTTTTCTTTTAATAACGCAAAAACATTTTATTTCCCACAATATTGGTATTAAGAGGGCGAGGAACCAATTGGCCATGTATTATTTTTGTAAAGAGTGCATGATTTCCACTTTCCATTGCCTGCCGCCATTGAAGATCGAGTTGAGTTGATTATCAGTTTGGGGTTCATGAGTGTCTTATAGTGATAGCGATTATCGACATCTAATAAATGCATAACTCATTTTGCTGTCTTTGTCTGGTAGCTTGGGCGAAGTTCCATTGGGATGGAGAGAGGGTGTAAAATGGTGGTTGGTTTTGTGGAGCTAGTGCTATGGTACAGTATTTTGATTTTGAGAAAAGATTTACAGTTGCAGAGTTATTGGTGGGTGAGGGGAAGAGGTGATGGTTCTGATTTGGGTAGGGAATCTGCCAATAAATTAGACTTTGCATTGAATTTGTATTAGATAAAACGTCTATAGCCTGATTTCAACCGGAGTGATCCCAAGTGAGGTGATATCTGATTTGTAATGAAAGCCATGGGGTAGGAGGTGGGAAACCGAAAGTATTACGTGCAGATAATTGAGGACCAAGAAACGAATTTTTGGATCAAATTTGAACATGCCTAGCTAGATACAAGAGTTTGTTGTAACGGATCTAAACATCGATGAGCATGATGTGAGGACTTGTTCTAAATAAAGTACATAGGGGAGTAGATCGATTGAGAAATTTATGATGAGATGAGGTCGGAGGAAAGGGTAGACAGTCACCAAAGAGGTTTGTTCGGACAAGATAATTGGGCCATGATGTTTATAGGTCATAAAAGAGACTATATTTTGGAGATACCGGTGATGGCATTTAAAATTTAATTGATTGGACCTAAGTTCAAGCAGCATAATTCCAATCTATCTCAAGGGTATTTGAGCATGAGAAAGAGCGTGAGAGAGTGGTATAATAACAATGACGAATTTTTTCTTTTCAGCAGGTGCCCATTTTTCCATGGGTGTAAGGACATGCTATCCTGCTATGAATTTACTTTTCCAGTTATGTGGTAGAGTTTTCTTGCCGGAAATATTATTTCAATTTTTTGGGTATTCTCCTCTCCCAAAATTCAGAATGAAAAGTTGCTTTAAAAAATTTTGATTTTAAATTTGACGGTTCCATCAAGGATTGAAACGATAGAAAACATGGTATTAGTCCACATCACTTTTATTTTTGAGTAAATATAGGCACGTAAAACGTGTGAAAATCATCCAAATAATAACAAAACAACCTATGTATTACTCTTTGTAACTAAAACATAACCCGAGCAGGGCCCCCCAAAACATCGAGTGAATTATTTGGAAAGGACCCGTGCTCTTATGTTCCACCAGAAGCTAAAGAGACGTGCTAAGAACAATTTCCCTAGTGCATTGTTGCAAACTCATGGATTGTAAACTGAAAACTAGAAATAGGCAAATTGAAATCTTTAATTTTTTAGCATCATCAGTTCGACGATGAGGGTGAACCAGGCAACGAATGCCAAATCGGTATAAGGTTATGGGAACTGTAGCTGACATGACCGGCTTGTTTGATCTTCAAAGGGTATGTTTTTGAGAAGTAGATAAAACCTTTAATCTATTTCACTTGACCCGCAAGAAAGAATCTCTTTGGTGACTCTTGAACTCCTTACAAATAACAATGAGGCCAGAAATTTCAAAAACATAGCAATTATCAGTGGTAAATTTTTGAACAGACGAAAAGATTGTTTAACTATAAATTTAGGAAACACAAGGGTAAAATGCTTTAGTTGGGAGAAGCACCATTTAGAAAGGGAATGACCACTATGGTCCCCAGTAATGAGGAAATCGTAATTACGCCGGTCCAAACGCCATTTCGTCCAACATGACGTGTTAATCATGACCTTGATATTTCAGTTGGTGCCACTTAAAGAGTTGGATATCTTAGGTGCTGACGATGATAATTGGCTGCAGTGTCATGGAATGCCAAAGGTTTAATTGTGTAAGCGAGTGAGGGCAGGCGGAAATAATTTGCCATGGGGCGGAGATGGTGAGTAGTAGTTCAGTCACTGGATTGAGGTGATGAACAAATAGATGAAAGGTGAGGGATAAAGGTGTGGTGAGGGATAAACTATACAGAGTAATTGGCCAATTGGTGGTGGGTAACGAGAGCGTGTGTGATTATCGATTTCGAGCATTGGATTTGAGCGGTGATTCAAGGCGACGGCAGACATTTGTCTGCTGTTATTGGTTTCGGGTAGCACTACAAGATGTATGCACAAGGAGCCCTTGGCTTTTTGGGAGACGAAGTTTCTTTTGCCAACTGGTATTTTGTATTTGGGCGTTGAAAGTAGTGGTGGAGTAAAGTTGTTGGATGGTTGTTTAGAGACTTCATATTGTCTTTTGTAGGTGATCAATACAACTTTTGAGGAGTATTTGCATATGAGCAACACATAGTTGTACTCATTGAAAAGTTCAATGGAATGATAACTGGGTTCAGCTCGGAGGTTTAAGGCAGTGATAAATGTTATGATATTCCAATACCAATATTTCCTGGTATTTAATAATAGTCTATTTAAATTCTGCCCGTCTGATATATGGAGGCTTATCTCAGCAGCCTGTAATTTCATCTTCTTTTAATTGCGTTTGCAGCGTTGAAAAGATAGGGCAGATACTGACAAATCATTCTTTTTAAATTCGTGAAGTTCAATATGAAATTTGAAGTTGTCTGTTCTTTGTGAGAGAGAACCGAAAGCCTGTGGTCTATCTACGCTTGCCAGACCTCGTGAGAGATATTTAACCCCACAATAGTGCGAGGAAAACTTCCCTCAGATAAAGGGAAGTGAAGCCAAGAATGCAGGAGCTGGTCCTATTTAAACCAAGATTGATAATCTGGATTTGGAATGTCAACTTCTGGGTTGGATGGGGATTTGATGGTTTTTGAAGGTGGGGAAGAGCCATCAATTAGGTGATTAAAATTATGATAATTTAAGAGAGGTTGGAATTGTGTTTTCCATACTAAATAATTGGTGGATTTTAGTTTAACAGAGAAAGAATGTTGAGCATTCATAGGATGGGAAGAGATTTGGTTTGTTGTTTCAGTCATGGCTCTGATACCATGTACAAACAATAGAGAAGAATAGATATTTTCTCTTTTTTATGAATTGTCAACTGATGGCTTTATATAGCCAAATACAATGTAACTGAAGCTAAGTTAATGGCAAAATATCCTGACACAGTTAATATACACAATAATCACGGAGTTAAATATATCACAATAATCACGGAGTAAATATAATACATAAATCAAAAGAGAATCTTTATATAGCCAAATACAATGTAACTGAAGCTAAGTTAATGGCAAAATATCCTGACACAGTTAATATACACAATAATCACGGAGTTAAATATATACATAATCAAGAGAATTAAACCAAACGTGTTGACCAAATCTGCTCCTTTATGTACTGATATCTTAACAATGGCTTCCAACCTCGAGATGAGATCTGTGTAGAAAAAGGTTTTGCTTTTATTAGGCCAGAACCAGCACATATCAGAGTGTTGGACAGACTCAATGAACACAACAGTGAACGGTAATTTTGAACATCGGCCTATTGTTGCTCTTGCTGTTGCCTTTTTTTTGTTTTTTTTAAATATTATTCTTTCTAACTTAAATGTTAGAGCTCTGAAAATCTAACATTATTTAATCTTAGATTTGGAATTTTTATTTTCTTCATCTCTTTAGATTTTTAGTCTCAGAATAAACACATCCCATTTTATAATATGTTTATTCCTTGGGTTCAATACTAAGAATATTCTTTTAAAAATTTTTAGTCCTTTTAGTGAGAATTTCTGTTTGGGTGGTTTAATAAATGAAATGAGTTTGGCATACAATGATGGATATACTGCCAATGATCATCCAATGGTGCAGTTGCTCTTCAACTTATGTAATTGGATAATTAGTCGTTCATGGCAAGCCATTGGAGGTATGTGACCTGCTGTACACCATTAGTTAGTTCAATGCGTAAGTGACATGGGACACATGCAATTCATATCAATTGGATTTTGAAAAGTTGAATATTACAACAACGAATGAATGTACATCTCTGGAAAATGTCTGGAATATATATATATATACACACACACATATACATATATGTATTTTGCAGGTTCGTGTTATGCTGCCCCTTCATTCTTGCTGCTTATTTAAAGTATGGTTGCCTTGTTTTTTTATTTTTTTATTTTTTTATTTTCCAGTTATTTGTACTGGAGTTGAAGATGATTTGAAGATGATGCATGTGGAGTTTTGAGAGAGCGACAGCAAAACTATGCTAACTCTAAGTGAAACTATGATACTGCTTATTTAAACTAATTGTGTCAATTACTATTCTGTTCATCTATAATAATTCAATCACAAGCAGAATATAACTCTAAGCGATCTCTTTTAATGGTTTTTGATTAACTTATTTTACCTTATTTACTTATTATTTGCATTTATGCCTATTCAATATAATTGGAGCTCAGTTACAATTAAATAATAAACATTTTAGTATTCGGAGGTCTTCTTTACTCTCACAATAACGGGATGTTTTGCAAAAAATTATTTCCGAAAACTGTGTTCTGCGAAAAATATTTATTAAAATAGTGTTATGATGATATTTCAAAGGCTTTTGTTCTGGTCATAGCGTAACAAATGCCTTATTACACTGACTGCAATAAAAATAATAAACTTCAATTTGTTTTCACTAACAGTGTCATGAAGTTTTACATACCAATATTATCTCTACTCTCTTCTTGAGTTGAATGTTGTTACAACGTCAAAAGGATAATTTACGTATGAGATTGCTTGCATGATTCCATTTCTGCGTGATTCTCAACCGCATTTTTATTCCCTTGTGCCATTTTTATTTACTTGTGCCATTTAAGAGTTTATAATTTATCAAATTTTGACTGTTGAATATACGTAATAGTTTTGGTTGTAATAATTTATTGAAAATATATATTATTACTTGGTAAAATGTTCTTTAAACAATCTTTGAGTACAGTTAGTAAAGTTGAAAATACATATAAATACATATATTTGTTATTCAATAAAAATATCTATGTGCTTTATATTTGGTTTTACTTTATATTAGATATAACAATATAAACTCACTGAAAATTAAAAAAAATAACTATCTCGTTAAAATATTATAATTTCTATAGTTATTCATGCATGATGCGAGGGTTTAGGGATTAATTATTTTTTTTGAAATTTATACATCTTAAACCAGAAAATTTTTAAAAACAATAATTACATCAAAAAACATATAAATATTCGCACGCAAAAGCGTAGCTAGCAACTAGTATTAATATAAAGGTTTGCACAAATTGACATTATACATAATGTAGGTATTACTGATATAAGATTAAATAATGTTTGATCCACCGTGCGAGGCTTTACTACGGTGTCGGCTTGCAAGTCGTGTTCTGCTAATTCTGACACAACCATGCATGTTCTCCGGGATTGCACGCACGCTTCCAGGCTTTGGGAAGACTTGAACGTCGGAGTCCTTTTCCCGACGTTCTTTACTGACACGACTGTTAATAGCTGGGTGCATATGAATTTAAACTGTCCCTCTATTAGTTCTGTGGGTTACCCATGGCCTCTCCTCTTTGGGATGGCGGTTTGGTGGCTGTGGAAGATGCGGAATGAGCGTGTTTTTAGCCAAGGAACGGTAGCTTTGCAAAAACAGTTTCTGTTGGCCAAAGTTCAGGAGGTGCAGCAAGCTTGGGCTCGAAAGCCGGTGATATCGCGATCGGAAGCTTCTCGTCATATCTTTATAGCTTGGGAGCTCCGCCCTGCCGGATGAGTTGCTGCTAATACTGATGGCAGCTCGTCTGAGATTTCTAGTAGAGCTTCGTGTGGTGGGGTGATACGCAATGAGGGCCGTTGGCTTCTGAGGTTTCAGGCTTATCTGGGTATGTGTAACTCTTCGGAACCGGAGCTTTGGGGCATTTATTATGCTCTCAAAATTGCTTGGGACAAGGGATGGCGAAGGGTGTTGATACAGACAGACTCTGAGACAGCTGTATGTTTGACAAAAGGTGTTGGTGCGGTTGCGACTAGGGTTCGTAATCTGGTGGACACATGCAGAACCATGTTGGGATGGCAATGGCAGGTCCAGATTATGAATGTGTTTAGGGAGGCCAATTTTGCAGCTGACTTCCTTGCTACACATGGGGTTTCTGATATTTCTGGATTGAACGTATTAGAGGAGCCTCCTCCTGGGATCCTTCATTTGTCAGATACGGATAGGGTTGGGGCCATTTGACCACGTTTTATTCCTAACCGGGTTTAAATCTCTCCTTGGCAGTTAAAAAATATATATATATGTTTGATCCATGCTAATTGAGATGTTTTCAAGTAGGAATTTGAATCTTATGAGACTATTAAGAATTTATTTGGATTTGATTGTAAAATTTTGGGTTGGCTATAAATGGAAAGGAGATAGAGTCCCAAGGAAACGGAACAGAAATAAATATCAAGGCTTCCGCTACAACTGTTCCCTAGGTTTTGTTCTCTAGGGTTCAATCATGGGTTCCAAGGTCGAGGATCCAAAGGTGCAGGAAGAGCCAAGGGAAGATCCACTCACTTTTTCGGAGAAGCCAAAGGTTGAGGCCAGCAGCGTCCACGAACAATCTGAGGAGAAGGTTGAGGATGCGATGGATAAAGACAACCGCGAGCTAATGGGGTGGAAACTTGATTACGGTAGCGCTTTAGAAGACAGCTCAGATAGTGAGCATAGCGAAGATTTAAATGATGATGACAAGGTCGACAGGAATAGTTTTAACAGATAATACTGGAGACAGCTTGATCGGAGCGAAGTAATGTCATTTTTCTACTTTTTAATTTTAATTATTCTATGAGACCGTTCCCTTTGTAGTTTTGTTATTCAAATTGTTTTATTATGACACCGGCTTTTCCTCTTCAGGTTTTTTTTTTCGTCGATCCCAGACTTTTACCAGGATATGATTCAGCTTATATTCGTCCGCTTAATATTTATGATGAGGATGATTTCTTTACCAAAATGGTTAAGAAGGGCACTGAATACGCTGTTGAGGAATACAATAAAAAAGAGGTTTTGATTTTGTTATTATAGTTTCATAATTTCATACCTCCCTTTTCAAAGTTTCTTTGTAATTATTTTTTTGATTATGGTGTAGGGTGCAGAGCTGAAACTTGATAATTAATATTTGCAACTGCTACTGGCTTTCAGCATTATGTAACATTTTCGGGTGAAGATGAAGTATCAGGCAAAACAGGCACTTACCAGATGTCTGTTACTCAAAAGTTGGAAGCTGATAATGTCTCAGATGAAGCTGTATATAAATATTTCAATTTTCTCAGGCCAGAACCAGAGAAAATTAATTTGCAGGCCGGAGTTCGTAACTGGTAATTGAACTTCATTTTGCAGGCCAAGTGCCAACTATCATCCAAACATATGAAAATTTGATATTCATTCTTTCAAGGAAAGCCAATTTCAAGAAATTTGGTAAAACGAGTAGCTGATCTAGTTAGTGCCCAAGTGATTGGACAGATGCATTTCGCATTGTTGGATTTTGAGAAGTTGAATATTACAAGAAAGAGTGAAATTGAACTGTTCAAAAATGTTTGGAATGAATATTTTCTCAATTACATGTCCTTCTTACGTTCACTATTCATTCTTTTACTGCTTGTTTGAAATAAGGTTGTCGAATTTTTCCAGGTGGAATTGAAGATAATGCATTTGGAGTTTTGAGAGCCAAGGTGAACCTATTGCATCAATTAACGATGATGGCATAATCCTGGAGGTTGGAATTTGCAAATGTCAGAAAATCAATAACATACAAGAATAATTAAGAAGGCCATGCACCTTGATTAAAATAAGGTTGTCTTGTGTTTTAGATTTTATTTGTTTATTTATTTTGATAGATTTAGGCTTGTTTTTTGAATTTAATTACAATCAAATCAAACAGAAGAATGTTTTTTTTTTCTCTATTGCAATTGAAACAAAATTGATTATGCTAAATTTAAAATTAAACTGAATTGAACTATTTGGTAGTCTGATAAATAAATAAATAAATAAATATATAATCAAACAGAAAGAAATGTTTTTTTTTTTCTCTATTGCAATTGAACAAAATTGATTATGCTAAATTTAAAATTTAAACTGAACTTTGAAACCTATTGGTAAGTCCTGATAAATAAATAAATAAATAAATATATATATATATAATATATATATTTATTTATTTTATTTATTTATATTTATATTTATATATATTCATGGGATTAAGTTGCTTAAATTCAATCTATACTATAAATCAAATTAATGAATTTTTTTTTTAATTTTTAAAAATTAATTCGTTGTACCTTTTAAGAGAGAATGATTGTGATAGTAGCAACATCCTTCATATAATGAATCAAATTATTTAAAAAATCATATTTAACACAGAATCCACTTCATTTATTTCAAGAAATAATTCATATAAAAAAAAGCCATTCAGCAAATATATAAATAACTACTCCCTCTAATTGCTTGTTATTCATTTTTTAGATGTTCCAAAATATTTATAAGGTTTCTAAATTTAGACATGTAAATAACTATTTTTCTCATAATAACTTTTATAATTTTTTATTAAATTAGGGAGTTTTATTAATATCTTCAATGAATCAAAGGTAAAAAAAAGGATAAAATAATTTTTATCGACTAAATTCTTAATATGCATATTTTGTTAAACCATGCAAACAAAATGGAACGTAGGGAATAAAAGATAAAAAAAAACACATTTTATAAAAATATAATACTGCTGATAAACATATAAATAAGAAACTATTTGTTAATATTTACAAATACACCCCGTTTGAGCAGGTGATACTAGCAAAACCCCACACCACCGCCATCCCTAGATTAATTAAGAAACAATAACCTTAATCTAAAGTACAAGTGTTCCTCAAGCTCACGGAAGAAAAAGAACACTAGATCATCACCCCCACCAATAATTATTGTACCAATTATTAAAAAACTCAAAAAAATAACCCTAACTATCCATGCACCCATAGGTTGTTCTAGTACGCGTTTGTACAATCCTTCTCCTTTTGTCTTCAACCTCCACCACCCCTTTAAATACTCCCGCATCTCTCCTCTCTTTCTCTCGTCCCAAACAACTCTCTTTCCTTTTCTTTCATAAAAATACAGAGAAAGAAAGAATCTCTCTCTTTCTTTATACAAAATCTTAAAGCATGGAACAAAATCTACCATTGATAGCCAAAAGAGTATGGGAAACCGTACGTGTCATCTACTTCATGCTAAGAAAAGGCATATCAAAGAGGAAGCTACTTCTTGATCTTAATTTGATGCTTAAACGCAGCAATAGCAAGATTGCAACCAAAGCCAAAGCCATCGGTAACCTTATGTTCCACCACCACAGCAACCACCACGATAACCACCGAGATGTATTCTCATTCACTGGACCACTACATGAGTACGAGTTCAGCTGCAGTAACACTCCCATGTACTCACTTCCCTTCCAAGTAAACAAACGCCGCCACCACCACCATAACAATTTCTTCTCGTGTGCATTTCACGCGCCCCCAACTCTTGACGACGATGTCACTGCCGCGAACGCTGTGAAGCTGGCTTTGGAGATGTTAAATAATAACAATGAGGGTATGGTGGAGGCGTCTCCTATGTTGCCGGGGTTTGGACGGAGTCCAATGGTGAGGCAGTTGAGGATAACGGACTCGCCGTTTCCGTTAAGAGACGTTGATGATGATAATGGTATCGTGGACAAGAAAGCTGAAGAGTTCATAGAGAGGTTCTATAAAGAACTAAGGCAACAACGGAAATGAGAGATTGGCCAAGCAATTTGGATGGTGTTGTTAATTAAGGTTAATTAATTGTGATCGGTACTGTTAATTGTTGTTCTTCTTGTTGTTGATGACATAATTAACAATAAAAGAGTTTGCATGAAATTGAAATTAAGCTTGTAATTAAGCAACATCAAATTGAGGTGTATATTACAGGGAATTAAGCTTTGAGTTCTTATATCTATGAATTTCTAAACTCTAACTACTTACTGTCAAATCCATGCAAATATTCTTAATTTTTTTTAATTAATAATCTGGCTGATTTATCAAAATAAATGAATAAATCAATATGTATGTCCTTCCAATATTTTTGGGTAGTAAATATATACAACCCAAAAATGGGAAAATTGGGTTAAATCCTATATTTAGTCTCAAATATTGGTTTGGCATTTAACTATGAAATGAAAAAACTTTACATAGTCGAACCTCAACTAATTTAAAATTATAGCTTAACTATTAATTATCTTGGTCGCCTATTAAATTTTTAAATTTTTTAATTACTTTATTATATCTGAATTAAATTATTAGATGTTTAATTTAAGTGTTTGTTTTTTCTAAACGCATCTTAATTTACCTTTTCTTCTCAGAATATTATAATCTGTTGTAGAGATTATGGGTTTGTTTTTTCCCGTCTAATTTCCTAGACTTCAGGTGCTCAATTTCAGAAAGGACACAAATGGTGGGAGTGATATTACCATCATGATTAATTATTTATTATGGGATTAATTAGGATTAATCTTTTGGAATTAAGCAGCTTTTACTGTGATTGCTATCAACTCCACTAATTTGTCGTGTTGTCGTTCCACTATGTTAAAGTAACACTACTATTAGCTGGACCCTCTACTAAATACAATCAACTTTTTTTTTTTTTTTTCCTCTCTTTATTGGTTTCCTACTTTTGAAAATTGAAAAGAAACTTGCCTCGAGTTGTGCTAGTGTTAGGTCGTCTATTGGTTACTTTGGGCATTGAACTTCAGTTTATTATGGTCACACCCTAAAACCCTAATTCTGTGCTTATAAAAGTGTATTTCTGATTGATTTTCTGTGTCTCACAATCAGATTCTTTAGGGCAAAAGTACTTTTGTCTCAAATTCTAAAAGAAACCAATTCCATCAATTTATGGAAAATTAGAATTAGATTAGGGGCATCTAATGCAAATATATTAAACATTTAGTGCTTATTAGTTACATTAATTGTATGATTTAGGTTTGGAAGATAGGATTCTTAACCGTCTTGTCAAGTACTCCCTTAGTCGTAAAATATAGGTCGTTTTTTAGTATTTTAAGGAGTAATAAATGATATTTTTTCGATATTACCTTTATTTACATTAGATACAATAAATACTTTTATAAATAACTATTGATTTTGAAATAAAGAATAATTTAGTCAATTTATTTTTGATTTTGTTATAAGCTAGCAGTATTAATTTTTTCCTTAATCTTTGTGTAAAAATTTTAAACGACTTATATTTTAAGACGGAAATTAAGAGTACTATAGACTGGTTTTTCACTAAGGAATGTCTTTCCTACTTAACTAGTCATACACACACCCTAGCTAGTTGCTAAATTTGTTACATGCAAAACAGTTTTTAACATCCAATTCTTGGCATTTAATAATAGAAAATGAATTCTAGCAATAGAATCCGCCACCGTTTTGGCACAATCAAAGAAAAATAGAATTTCGAAAGCGAGAGCAGATGAATAATTGATTAATTATAAACAAGAAAAATATTAAATAAACATGAAAACGACTCAATCAATAGATTTGACAGGAACAGTTTTTTTCAATTTACATAAAATAGTAATTACTAGTAATAATTAGATAAAAATAATTAAAATGACATGAGCTGGATTGTTATTTCTTGCGGGCAAGATCTTGTGCGTTTGTTGAGAAAGAAGGGCAAAGATCTAATGAACACAGAGAGATGGTTTTAACTTTTTGTTATGGCATGAAATAAAAGGTGGGTGGGCATTGTATTGTACACTAATTTTAAAAAGACCCATAAAGCCAAAAGTTTAGGTAAAATGTTAGGTGAAAGTGTGAAATTATGGCAAATTGCGGGACAGATGTCATATTTTGAACTTACCGCTTCCTTCTTTAGAATGCTTTACGTGGAATTTTATAAAACACATATATAGTTTTATAATTATTTATTTATATTTCTCTTAAAGTAACTTTTTTTTCTTTATAATTTTTTTAATCAAATTTGAAGGCAACTTCTCTGTGTTTTCCATTGTTACAATAGTATAACATAACATTTTTAATTTAATCTTTGTAAAGAATAAATTTTATATTACAAACACTATATATGTAGAGAGAAATTAAATTAATATAATTTTAGAAGAATTTTTTTGACCGTCTATCTTTATAATAATTTATAAAAAAGTCGAAAAAGAATGGACTTTAATATCATATTAAAAATTAAAACTTTATTTTAAAAGTTATGTTAAGATTAAAGGAATTTATAAATTGAATTTTGCTTATGCGATGTAAAATAAATAAATTAAATAAATATTGTTAGAAAAATATTTTTTTTTTGGCAATTTATATGAGTATAAATTACAAAAATAAGTAATCCTTAATCTGTTTTTAATGTCAACTTATTCTTAATAAAATGACAAATGATTGGAGAGAATGATTTACGTACGGTATGTCTATCTTTCAATATTTAGTAAAAGTTTTGGAAGTCTATTACTTAAACAGATTAATTGATATAATAAGCAAAGAATTGCATTTAACAATCAAGAACTCGCTCTCCTATCAAAATCCACCATCATAACTTAATAATGATAACGATGAATCATTTGGATGTATAAACTCTCGTTTTGTTTTTAAATATTATTTTTTCATTATTTATCATGGATAAGACTGATCAATAGTTTATGATAGATATAAACAATCAACGAATAAAACTTAATGCTAACCGAATGTGATTTGATTGATCTTTTTACTTATGATAGTGAGATGTTTTGAGTTCTGAGTTCGAGTGGTCAAGAGTTTTCACCAATTTGATGAGTTAACGGGAAAGTCACTTTTGTGTTGTGCAGCCCGTACGATGTTATTTTGAAAATAGAGTCATTTCAACTAAATTTAGATTCTATTTATTTTCGTAAAATAACTTACAGAGAAATAATTTGTCCAAAGATATTTTCATGGAAAACATTTTCATTGAAAAATATTTTCCAAATGTCTTATTTTCCATTGTTTGATTGTAATATTGAAAATTAATTAAAAATATTAAAGTCTTTGTCTCATAAAACCATAAAAAATATTATTAATAATATAAATTTTATAATTTAATATAAATTTTTATAATTTAAATATTTATTGTTAAATATGAAAAAGAAATATAAATTTTATAATTTAAATATTTTATTGTTAAATATGAAAAGAATGCAAAAAAGAATATAAATTATGAAAGCTGCCGGTAGTCGGTGGTGGTGGTCGGTGGTAAATGGTGACCGGTGGATTTATAAAGTTTGTCAATATCTGAAAAATGTTTTACTCTCTCAAAAAAAAAAAAGTTGTTTTCCTTAAAAAAATGACTTAATTTTCCTATGACAAAAAAATATTTTTCGTTAATTTATTTTTCTGAGCGCTCTAAACAATCAAAAACTGTAAAAAATATTTTACTACAAATTATTTTACGGAAACAAACAGAATTTTAAAATGATTTTTTTCATACAAATCAAATATCAAATATTCGATTTTTTATTTAAAAAACTTATGTATTGGAACCACACCCTCCATTGATTGATTAAAGTGACTTTGATCATCATAAGTACTTAAAAATATATATATTAATGGAATGCGAAATAGTAAAGTTTATTAAAAAAATAAGTGAGGATAAATTGGCAGATAATTAAAATAACAAATTACTGATGGCTTCCAGCTTATTTTAAATAAAATAAAATTTTTAATTTATAAATCAAATCAAACATGACTTTTTATTTTAAAATAGATTTCATCGATCTAAGAGCACTCTCGTAATCTAACAAAATTAATTAATTTTTTTTTTTTTTAATGTTAGATTGCATGCAAATGTTTTATGTAGGGCCCATATATCGCCCAAAGTCACCGTGTAACATTTTCAAGCTGAGCTCATGCAAGTAAATATCTGGAACATTTTTAATATTGTTGTGGGTCCGTATAGGAAGACCACCCTCTGAATTTACAACTCAATTATTTGCCTCTCTTAATCAGATTAAAATAAATAAATAAATTTATGGACACCACGACACATTTTAATGATAAATGAATAATAAAGTTAGATTTAAATTTATTTCTTTAATATTACAAAATTAAATTTATGATTTTTATATAAAATGACATAATGGATTAATTTTTCTATAAGACATTAATTGTAATTTTCTTAATATTTTCAAAGGCATACTATATGTTTTTCTTAATATAATATATTAGAATTTCTTCAAAATTTTCAAATCAATACAAGTAATACAAGAAAAATATGAACTTCTCATAAACATTAGACGGAAAATAAAACTATTATAACTAAAATAATAATTGTTCGCAAATCTAATAAGACATCCTAACGAAAATTAGAAGATAAACTGGTTAATAAATCGTCAAAATGGTTTGCTAGATAAATTTCTTAAATCTTACATACATAGCCGAATATCCATGAACTAATTGCTTACGACGAACATAGAATATTATGTTATTGAACCATGTGTAAAATTGTATTATTTGGATATTTTTATTTCATAATTCTTGTCGGTATATTTTTTGGAGCAATTAACAAGTCAAAGCAAATTGCACTTCAATGCATAGCCAAATGATAAGCGAAAGTAATATATCGCAATAGATTCAGATTTAAATTATCTTTTTCTAATATAATAATAATAAAAAAAAACAAGTGAAGCAAGTTTAACATGAGTCTAAAGAAGAAAAAAAGAAAATCTTCACACTTCTTTTCCCCTTTAAACTTCACAAAAAGTTACTGCAATAATTATTTTTACGCATTTAAATTGATTCACGAATACTCTGAAACTAAAAAAAAAAAAAGGAAAGTACATGGAATCTAATTTTTACCTTAATTTGAAGATTTGAGAGTTTTGAAAAATAATATTTTACAGCTGTTAATTTAAATCGAGTTTTCCAATTCTTTGGTAGAGAGTCTTGTGGATACAATAACTAAGATATTTTTAGCGACAGAGAGTTG